AGTTGCTCACAACAGAACAAGAAAAAATGTTCATATGAACCTGCCTCCAGAAATATTTGTGCTCAAAATATCCTTCATGAGATTCTATGCAAGCCAGTATGTTTCATCAGAGTGATGAATCCATTTAAAGATGGTGAAATAGATACATATATTCTGAGAGGCATCCACAATGCGATGGTTAAGTGCCTCTTCATTGTCAACAAGATCTACTTACACAAGGGTGTTTAAGTGTCCCTACAAGTAAAAATCCAGAGGATTCAACTCTGGCAAGTGTAGATGGCATGCAGTTGGTCCTCCTCCACCTCTACATCAGTCATGATAGGTATTATTCAGAAAATCTTGCACAGCACGTCTAAATTGTGTTGGAATACCATCACTCATCACATTTGTGATCTGACAGCCAGTGGTGCATCTTCCAGTAGCCTTGGCAGATCATGCTGTTGCTGGTGTCTGTACAGTATTCTTTCAGCTATAACTCACAAATTATATGTTTTCAGACACATTGTGCCAAAATTTATCTGTGCCCTTCAGTTACACTCTCTATACACATATACAGGTGTCCTAGTAGGAAAGGTCAGTATTCTAAGAGGTTATATTAGCATTTATTCTAAGCAGAACTTGTATATGTACATGTGTCCTATTCGGAACGGTTTCCCAAATAGAGTTACTTCACTGTACAACATTGTCCTTGTCTCCCGTTGTACTGCGCCACTGTCCGAAACATATGAATCGGTGGCGTGAAGTGTCAGTTGGCCGTCATGACTGTTGATAGTGACATTGAAGGGGTGTTGTAAAAATTGGCACGCATCTTCACAAATGCTGAATATGCTGATATACTGTACTCTTACGGCTTCTGCGATGGTAGTTCCACTGCTGCTGCTGCTGCTGCTGAAGAATACTGTTGACGGTTTCCTGTGTGGAGAATTCCAGATCACAGAATGTGTTCAAAGGTGTTCAATGCATTGTATGAATGTGGTATGCTTCCCAGTGCTCATGTTTCATCTGAAGAAGCACATCAACATGTTGAGGAACAGGAAAACATTCTTGAAATGGTACAGTGTAGCCCTGGTATTAGCACGTGAACACATTCTGCACATCTTGGTGTTTTCATAAATATTCTATGGCGAACATTGCATGATGATGGCTTGTACCCATTTCAACCACATCATGATCAAAATCTGTAGCCAAGGGACAGTACCATGCATCATTTGTTACATACTAATCACCAGTTGTGTCCATTAATACGTACTATTGTGAAGCTACTTTCACTCATTACAGAATCAGCAACACATGTAACTCACATTGATGGCCTCATGATAATCCACATGGTACTGTGGAAACAAATTTTGAACTTTGTTTCTCTCTTAATGTGTGGTGCGGTATGATCAATGACATATTGATTAGTCCTGTTATTTAGACAATCATGTGACAGGACATACTTGCCTATACCTTCTGCAAAATGGATTACCAGAACAACTGGAGGATGTTCTTTTGGCTACATGGATTACTTTGTACATTCAGCATGATGGAGACCCTTCTCATTATATCTGACTTGTGATGTAACATCTCAGTGACACTTTCCCTGATTGGTGGATCGGCCGTGAAAATACAATTAACTGTCCACCACCATCAGCAGACCTAACCCCTTAGATTTTTGTTCATATAGTTGGATGAAGAGTACAGTGTACCGAAGAAAAGTGGATACACGAGAAGAAATGCTCGATCACATAATGGATGTCATCGTCAGCATAAAGGAACGTCAAGATGCATTCATATGAGTAACACACCATATCCTCACGTGAACTGCTAAGTGCACTGATGTTGACGGTGTAATTTTTGGAAATGTATTGTAATCTGTATAGCCATTACTAGGCAGCGGGTTGGTAAACACATTCCCACAATACAAACGCTCAACAATAGGTGATCCATTGCTATGTAAAGGACCGGTAGATGTGTCTTCTGGACAACAGAAGGCGTTGTTTTCCATGGGGTCCGTGCAAAGTGTTTTAAGAAGGGTTCAACAGGACAGTACATCTGTCCCGCCTGGGAATTAGTGACAGACACCTACTTCTTAAAATTGCAGCATCTGCAAAATAATATTCTGCCCACAACTGGAAATTTTCCTAGGTGCACATTGGTCCGCGATTTGCACCCAGGTTTCAACCTTATTTATGCATACAGCTATATAACAAAACTGTGCAGGTGACAAGCAGAAGTCATACAAAATCATGAAAATGAACATGTTTGCAGTATAAGACAAGGTGAAGCCACACATAGAAAATATAAGAGGCTTAAACTTGGTGGTGGTCAAGGTTACGACCCTTCAAGTGACTAAGCTTACGTTCTAGCAAGAGATAAGTAAGATAGGCATGATCTGCTCTGAAAAGCCTGTACTGACAGAGAACTTGTGTGTAGTGCAAAAACAATAGTTTTTCAGTAACATGCTATTATGTGTGAAATGCATATTTGATGAAAGGCTAAGCATATTCATAAGAAACAAACCCATTTTCTCATCAGAGAGGATATTACATAAGGAAAATTACTGCAAGGGTTCAGTTTGGTGGAGGGAATCTGTGGTCTTGGGTCTCAAGGGACTTGATGCCAAGGCAAAATGATTGGTGGTAAACTGCCAATCGTAAAGTAAATTTGACTTTGACTTTGAGTAGAAATCAGTTGTAGAGAGAGAGAGAGAGAGAGAGAGTCCTGTTCTGTCAAAATGGGGTGAGTTCTAGACAGTCATGGAGGAAGGCTTCAGTTGAGGACTTATTGAGAGTTATTGTAATTTATTGTGATTGTCCCAGAAGTGATCAAAAAATCCAATTTCCAATCCAAACCCTGTCTTGTAAGTCACCCCCATACATGACAGGATTATTCCAGGTAAATTATACCAACTTTATCACTTAAACAAAAAATACCAGCATAAGAAACAGTACGTAATTTCTCTTTCTTATCAACAAATTTGGATCTGTATAGTGAAATGGCTCTATCTCAGAAATTATTCAGAATAAGAAACATATATACATACACATTTTTGCTTAGAATGACTGATACTATGACCTCACACAATATTGACCTTTCCTCCTGGGGCATACTGTATATGAACACAAGTGATATTTTTGTCCTCTGACAGTTATAAAATTTGTGTAACTTCTTTCGTATTGAACGCTAGTGTATGAAACTTTCACAGATCCATCTATACATATGGGAAAATTATGGGTTGCACTAAAACATGTGCCATATTTTGTCCTCGACGGTGATAAACTTATGCAGACAAAGAGCAAAATTGTTGAAAAACTTGGTTAGAGTTTCTGTAGACGTGGCTTCAGCCTTTGATTGGATAGCAATTTTCAGTTCAGGAATTGTGTGCTGATTTTTCTGAAACATCTGCTCTTCAAGTACCTCCACAGGAAATAATTGCAAGACTTTAAGTCTGGCAAGGCTGATGGCCATAAAGATTCTTCCTCAAAAAGCGTAGAACGTGGCTCAACAGAACTCTCTCCTCAAAAAGTCACGAAGAAAGCCAAGTATGACACCATGGCTGTAAGGTTTCTTAGAGTTCTTCATTGAGAGTCTTGTGACGTGCAAGAAACCTGGACTGTCTTTCAGTTAGCGCTCTGTAGCCCCTCACTAATATGTAATGTATCACTATTCCATCTTTCGACAATGACTGAATCAGCTGTATTCTGTATGGAAACAATGACAATTTATCACAACATATTTTCCATGTTGTGCTGTTTGAGAGACAAATTTGTCCCGCTGAACGTCACGCACATTTTCTCGGAGAACTTGTTACTGCCTTCTGTGCTGCATCGACAGCTTCCACAGGAAGATTTTCTTCATTTACGCATGTTCATCTCAGCCCCCCTCTTCAGAGTGTTTAACATCACAGCGTAGAGTCTGTTGATGTTTCAACATGGACAGGAAACTCTCGATAATGTTGTCTGTCTGCAGCTATACAAGAAACACCAGACGAGTAACAGGTTTGGATAACAATCTGTGGAAGTTTCATATAATTTCATACAGTGACAAAGCTGTCTTCCAAATGTTAAAAACAATTTTCCTGATACTCCTGCGTTCAGATTTATCCTCAAGATTTTGGACAATACTGTGGCTTACAGCCCCGCTGCTAACTCTGTAAACAACAACCGTTGCTATGCAATAGGCGATTAAACAAACACCCCTTTATAGGCAGCCATCGATGTATTGTTGAACTATAATAAAGGAAACGGTGTGTTCTATGTGGTCCATGCCGAAATGTTATAAGCAGGGTAAGTCGAGTTCTGGAGTAGGAACTGTCAGCAGTTAGGTTGAGTGAAGTGATGTGAAGTACCTGGTTAATGAGTGTGAGAGTTCCCTTTTCAGTGGGAAGACAACCTGTGAAGCGAACACTAGAGGGTTGGTGAGAAATGGCTGACAGGATGGGAGCCGGTTAATTGAGTTGTCAGTTGACAAGAATCCTGCATGGGCGGCTGTGACAAGAGGATCTGAGCATGGGAAGCTGAAGAATCTCCCTCAGTAGAAATCATTGCTAGGAAAGGACTAATGGAGATTGTAATAGACTGAGAACACTAGTCTGTGTATGCCAGTGATCTGTAAACTGTAGTTCTGAATGGTGTACATAAGTGTTCAATAAATCCAAGATCCAATCCATACCCATTTATTGTCACACAAACACACATGCATGTGACAATACACTATAGCTATATGACTGGAAAATCAGAAGGGAGAAGGAAGGAGGAAATTAAGCAATGGAATACCTCCAAATGCTTCACATTTCGTGAGATTCAGAATTCTCGTAATGACATTACGGAGATTGCAATCTTTTGGTATGTACTGTCTTCGCGTACTGAGCAGAAAATATGGGTGACAGGCTCTTCCAAAATGTTGCATTATCTACGAAATTATACAGTGTCTCATCCCAGGAAACTGCAATCTTCAGTTCACTTTTTATAAATTTATAGACGAGGATTATATATATGTGTATTTCTGTATATTTCCAGGTTCAGAAGAATGGTTTGTCTGTGGTCTTTTTTGCCATGTGTGGTAAATCTAGTATTGCCATCCTCGCTTATAGAAGCAAAGAACACTAAATTAGAAGATGTGTTCCACTGGAACCTTGTGGATTTTAATTATCCTGATGATACATCACGAAGAAAATCCATCATGTCGAAGCAATTTATACCAGAAAATAATCTACCATTAGGTCTTGATGTGTGGGAGGACAAACTGTTTGTTACAGTCCCTCGTTGGAAGCCTGGAGTTCCTTCAACACTCAATTACGTTTCTTTGAGTGGTGGGTATAAGACCTGTGTTATTATAGCTCACCAATTAAATTAGTCATTAGATCAGTAAGGTAAAATTCTACTACAACAAGTGAAGTGGACCAGGATTCTGATGCTTCTTTCATTTTCCGTATTGTGTGAACTCAAATGTCTTTGGTTGAAGTCAAGTGCTACTTTCATTATAAACTTGCAGCCTGTTTGTGTTTTCTTGTATGTCAAATGATGAACCATTACATAAACTTACATAAAAAAATATTATTTTTTTTTAATTCTTACTTGCTGAAGGTTTTAACCATAAACAGTCACCATAAGGTGACATACACCAATCAGCTTAAGTACAAATCTTCTAAAATGTGGGGATGTATAAAAATGTAGTTAAGTAATAAAGAAATCATGAAAGATACAAGTTAACTTTACAAATAGGTAAGTACAAAAGTGATGGACTTTCTCAAAATACAACGATTATCCAATGTACAGAGTTACAAATATGTGTGATTTTTTTGTCTTGGAGAGTGCTGGAAGTATGCTTTTAATTTCTTTCTTTTTCTTTTTCTTTTTTTTTTGGGGGGGGGAAAACCTAAATTAATGACAAATGGGAAAATCCATGCAAAATTATTTGCTGGCACAGAGGAAGGCAGACACCATAACCATGAAATCATTAAGATCAAAAATACACAAAAACCTGAAATATTAGTTCTGGGTGTAAATGTTTCAGAGGGTTTAAGAGACAATATTTACATTAAGGGAAAGCAGAACTTGTAGAAGCTTACATGTGCCAAGGTCATTTCTTCGACATGTGTTTTCAGTTTGGGGGCTGAAATGCTTTCAGAGGAATTTTATATCTGTTGTAAAATGTTATGAATTCCTAAGAGAAACTTATGAAATTTTGTGCAACTATGGTTACCACCCTGGAGCCATTGGTTTCACGGTGCACCCTTGTAACCAATTTCTTTTGTCCTTCAATAAGGTATTAACCAGTTAAAACGTCCTTTCCATAGCTGTATTTGTTCCATAAAGACATTAAGGAAAATTTCTATGAAATAAACTAACTAACTAACTAACTTCATGGAGCTGAGTCCTTCTTGAGAAACTGCCAGTTTTGCAGTTAGTCAAGAACTTCCCATCATTTTACAGAACCTAAAGGTTGAGGTGACAGGAGGTTGGAAAAAAATGCATAATGAGGAACTTTATAGCTTGTACTTTTTGCCAAGTATTATTAGAATGATTTAGTAATGTAGGATGTGATGGACATGGCATGTACCATGAATAGGGGATAAGAGGAATGCACGTAGGATTTTGTTGGAATGAAAGAAAGAAAGATACCACTAGGAAGACCTAGATGTAGGTGGGTGGATAATGTTAAAATGGATCATAGAGAGATTGGATGGGGTGGTATTTGTTGGATTGGTCTGACATAAGATAGGGATCAGTGGATGGCTCTTGTGAACATGGTAACGAACCTTCAGGTTCTATAAAACGTTGGGAAGTTTTTGAGTAACTGCACAACTGGTGGCTTCGCAAAGAAGTCTGATCTCCATGGATTTACTTAGTTAACACACATAGTATTATGTTGCGATACAATATTTCTAACATATGCATACTGTAGCATTTTAAAGTGACTGGGAGACTGAAGAAAACATAAGGCACTTCGAAATATATGGGCTATTGCCATCCATTATTCCAACTTTTCATTAAAGTTTCTGGAATGAATTTGGAAACAGTAATGTGTCCAAGTGCACAGTAAACAGTCTTGGAAGGTATTGTTAACGTTTGAAGTCATGTAACATGCATGTGTCCATAAACAATGAAGTCCAACTAAACAATAGAAGAAAAAAATTCTAAGTATGATGCAAAGGAGGTGGATGTTTTATTCTACCAGGATCCAAAGGCTTTCTTTTTGTATTGTAACTGATTGTTGTTGATTTAACAACTGCATTCAGTGTGTGTGTAAACAAATGCGTACCCATTCCAGACATAGGTGGAGGGACAGGTTAACCATCTTTTCATCTGACTTCCTCCAGCTACTGATGACAAAGGCACAATAAAATCATGCTGTTTATATAGCACTTAAGATGGGAATATCAAACATCAAGTTACATGCACCAAAACTCGATCAACAATGACAGAAAATAGTGAATTCCTGCTTATAATGTAATCCAAAAACTTTGAAAATGGTACACATTTGTATCCCACTATGTAATAAGGTGGGACATCGAACATAGCCTCCAAAATCAGTACCATTCACCCAAAATTGGAGTGGCTTGGAACCATATGTATGTATACATATGGCTGGTCAAACCAGATTATAATTTAACTTGACTTAACCATGAGAGCAATATGATAATATATGTTACAATTTATATTTAACTTTTGCATTAGTGTAGTTGGTTGAGGCACTATGCTACAAGCTGGAAGATCACGGGTTCAAGTCCTAATTAGGTCACTGGATTTTTTCAGTTTACCTAATCCTTCCAGCTGCACTATGGCCCTGGGGTCGACTCAGCCTCTAACAGAAATGAGTACCATGAATTAATTAAATAATTTCCCTGGGGAGTAAAGTGCAGCAGGCACATAAGGCTGACAACCTTACTGCTATCTTTGAGCCGACTGTCTAGATAATGTGGGACCCTCAACATCTCATGACCCTATTGGTCTTCACAGGCTGTTACAGGGATAGCTTTGCTTTTTTTTACTTTTAATTAATTTTATTTTTGGGTACTTGAAAATTTGTCTTATGTTTTGCTCTTGGTGAGTATCTGGAGTTGATAGGCAGAATACAAAGTACATTTTGAAGAGACTATTAGCAAGGTACTGTCATCAGAGTGAAATATATTAACTTTAACTATCACTATTAATTATAAAGATTACTGACTTCTGGGATGTGACACTTTGTAATTTGGTGATTTTATTAACATTTTGGAGAAAACATCTGCTTCCATTTTCATATCTGGTAAACCCAGAATCTACAAACTAGTATAGTACAGCAAACAGGAATGAGATGTTAACAATGTCTCACATAGTAAACAGGCCTTATATGTTAACAATGCCTCTGGTGAACTGTGAAATTTGTAGACCACTCAGTGATTTTTCATGATTTGTTACAGGTGATAACAAATCTCCGAAACTGATACCATATCCTGACTGGAATAGTAACCATTTACCAACAGGTAGAGCTGAGAAAGGAAATATCACTGAGAATGAAATGCACATTATTTCAGTGTTTCGTGTGAGGGTGGACGCATGTGACCGCCTATGGATGTTAGATACAGGCATGAATGATGTGGTAGGAGAAGCCCAGCAACTGCAGGATCCTCGTATACTTGTTTATGACCTTCACAGTGATTTCTTGATTCATAGTTATACATTAAAATCATCACACATAGAAGAAGGTTCATTCTTTTCTAATATCATTGTTGATATTAATGCAAATGACTGTGATGGAGCTTTTGCTTATATCACAGATATTTATGGTTACAGTATCATAGTTTATAGCCTTCGAGATGATGAGTCCTGGAGGGTCAAACACCATTATTTCTACTTTGATCCCCTGAGTAGTAACTACAGTGTTGGTGGAGTCAACTTCCAGATGAGAGATGGAATATTTTCTTTAGCCCTTTCTGCCCCACATGAAGATGGATTCAAAACTGCATACTTCCATCCTTTCTCAAGTACAAACGAATTTTCTGTTTCCACTAAAGTTTTTCGCAACAAAACCCTTGCAACTGACCCTCACAACTTTGACGAATTCAAGTTACTGGGTTCCCGGGGTCCAAATACACAAGCAGGTGCCTCATTCCTAGATGAACGAAGTGGTGTAATATTCTACACACAGGTAAACCTCAATGGTGTAGGATGCTGGAACTCCAAGAGCAAAGAATATGGTCCCGAATACCAATATCTTGTAATTTCTGATAATGAGACCTTTATCTTCCCTAATGATCTTAAAGTTGACCGTGAAAACAACTTGTGGGTATTGACTGATCACTTACCTATATTCATTTTTAGAAGTCTTGATCTTAATAACATAAATTTTTACATTTTCAAGGGTTCCGTCAAAGAAATCATTAAGGACACCATTTGTGAGATTGATGAATACTGATTTATTCTCTGCAGCATGTGTACTGATGTTTCATAATCAAGAGAAAATGAAATGTACTGTTCTAAATTTGAAAGTAACTAAATATTGGCACTACAAATAAAAAGAGCAGTTCACATGTACCACTACATAATATTAGCTCAGATCCACCCCCCTTTTCTATTCAGCAATGAATATACATATATGCATGCTATTAGGACTGTTCCATCAGTTGTGTTTATTTTACTTCAGCCATGATTGTATATTTATCTTGTTGTAAATCAAGGAAATAAAGTATATATGCATAAGAGTTTTGATGTTATTATATGCTCTGATTGAGGTTTAAGTTCCTGTTTAGTTTATTCAACCTACCTTCAGAGAACAAAGAGTAGTATAGTAAGTATGAAAAATTAATTCATAATGGCAAAGGTGTGAAGAGATTCCCATGTTATCTGTCTGTTTCAGTTATATCACTAATCCAGAATATTATATTCTCCAAACCTTTAAATTATTTAAGTTGTTTTGACTTTAATAAGAAGAAAAGGCTCATCTCAACATGATAAGATTTGAGTTCTTTGAAATAGTTGAAAAGATAATTGTGGTTTTGAGTTGTGATATCATGTATTTTCATATGCGGTTACCACCATTTTGGAAGAACATTTAATGCCATTTTATGGCAGATAATGGAGGCACCAGGTTCCTGTACAACACTGCTCACCATGTAAAATACTGCATGATATCATAACCCAGAAGTTCACAATCTTTATTCCTCAATAAATCACTGTGTACGCCTTAAGGCCTTGATTACAAATCCTTTGTGTTCCATCTGTTTCAACTGAACCAAAGCTCATTCTAGTCCCTTGCTCACATTTTCTGCAGACTAATGAGAACTGGAGTAAACCATTGTGGGTTTTGCTAAACACCGACTTCTGGGATAAAGACAAGGCCTCAGAATTGGGCCTTATATTGGGTCCCATTGTTCAGCACATACTTTCAGATCCCCCAGAAATAATCCATTTTCTGCGGGCTCATAATTCAGTACCATGAAAGTGAAGAGCAGACTCTCACTCACTTCTGTCTGAAGATATAATATCTCAAAGTAATCAAAAAACAAGCATGTCACAACCTGACATCATCAGCAGAAAAATTAGAATGAAAGTTTCATGGGAAATTGTTTCTCATAGACATTTATATGAGTGTACTGTTTTGTGAAATGGGGTTTCTCTGTGGCAGTAATTCCACAATATAATACTCTTTACAATCAATTCCATATTCTTTTACTGCATCTTCATTTTAATATTTCCTCCAACCTTTGCCAAATTTCTAAAATATTGTCTTTTCACTTGGGTTTTCTGACAAAACTTCTGTATGTATCTCTTGTTTCCTTGTGTCCTGTATGACCTGCTCATCACATCCTACTCGATTTAATCATCCCAACGAGATTAGGTGAACAATACAGATTGTGAAACTGCTCATTATATTATTTTTGTCATATACCATACCTGTCTTTGTGATTTATTTTACAATGTTGTATATGTCTGGACAACCTCTGTGGTCTAGTGGTCAGAGCTCCTGGCTACAGATCCAGAGGTCTCAGGTTCGATTCCCGGCTCTACCAGATTTTCTAATAAGTAGTGGGTCTGGAATGGGGTCGACTCAGCCTCGTGAGGATAACTGAGGAGCCATTTCAAGGAAATACAGGCTCCGGTCTAGAGAACTGAGATTAACAGCCATGGCGATCTGTTGCACTGACCACATGACATCCTCTATTTGCAAAAGTTGGCACTAACTTCGCCGACAAGTGGCGGTCTCTCGGTATGTATAGTTTGCTTGAGTACTACAGGCCATGGAGTTTGTTTGTTTGTTTGTTTGTTTGTTGTTTGTATATGTGTGTTATATGTCGTGTGAAATGCTTGGACGGTTGTCGAATGAAAATGATTCAGAAGAAAGTGTTAATGGTTTAATTGAGGTCCTCTCCTGGTGTGCTTTTAGAGTGATGGAGGAAAATCGCAGAAGGCCTCAGCCAGGATAGCTGATGGTCCAGACAAGGTTTGAACTGCTCACCTCCAATATACAAGCCTGCTGCCACACAAACCAACATGGTACCATACACCCATTATATTGTCTTAAGCAAATATATTATCTGCAGCCTTCTCTTCAAAAATACCACAAAACTATCTTCATATAGTTTCGTGTATTTTAACCCTTCAGTTTTTGGATAAGATCCAGGCAAAATATTCTGAACTCAGTGGTGATAGGTGTGTAATAAGCTTAGTTTGCATGTTTTATCATGAAATGTTGAAATATTGCTACATTATGCTTGTTTTATCATAAGCGTCATTTTCATTTGTTGAAATATTGCTACATGATGCAAGGGTTTACTGACTAACGGTCAGTTCTTGTTTTGCCCTGTATGCTGTTGACATGGAATGAACCCATAAGCCTACTATGACTTCGTTGTGTCCAAACTTATCTCTTGGCCTGTGTGTAATGTATAGACTGTGCGCCCAATAAATGTCTGATGTTTCTATGCTACTGCCAGTGCATTCTTAAACTTCTTGAAGATTATGTTGCAACGTCTTTGGGGGGGGGGGCTGGATTCAATTTCTTTTGTTCATATATCAATACCTACAAATTGGCATCTCAACGTTAAATGTGGCCAACACACGAATTAGTTAGTGTTACATGTTCTGACATCAGATAGTGAGGCTTTCGAACTACTTAAATATTCCAGAGGGTTCTGAGGAGGGCGTATAGAGCTAGTCCCAATCTCCAAAGATTGTGCTCTTTATTAGTACATGTTTCAGTGGCCATTCTGAAGTGTATGATATGTTGCTGTGTTGTTTCATTCCTGGTTCACTCATCGTATGTGAATTAATTTCGGTCCATGAACTTTTCGTTAATTTTAATACGAGCTTCCTCGACAGGTCAATACAATGTAGAAACATGAAAGCATGAGATGTAACACATAAGAATGGCCATGTAAGGCTGAGACTTGTTTTGATAACGAGAACAAGTGAATTTAAATATAAACAGTGTTTAAATAACCACGCAGCCATATGCAAAAATTTCATTAGTAAGAAAGAAAATAAATACCTCAGTAGTGTGAAACCATTCTTTACTACATTGTTTTGGGGGGGGGGGGAAGCAGTTTACACTCTTGCCGACTGAGCTCTGGCCTACATGACGTCATATTTCGTCCACCAATAGGGTTAAGATCGTTACGATAATGGCGGCCCTGCAGTTTGTTGCGATATGATGCATCTACAATTTTTCGTGACCGTGACTAATGAAAGTCTTTGTCTACACTTCATTTAAAGTAGTCTGAAGATCTCAGCATTAGATTTCGCTGGTTCGACCATTTAGTAATCAGCCGTAATCAGTGCGTTGCCTACATTAAACATCGAACCGGTCGAACCTATCGAACTGTGGTAGAAAAGAATGTGGGGAAGGGCGTTTTGCATGCGTATTGTATCTCCGTAATGGGTCCTGTTATAGGAGACAGTAACGGAATTTCAGACGAGGAATATCTCGTTTTACGCGCAAAAGACGCCCTGAAAAGTGATCCATATGCCGCGAAGGCATGGATGATAACAGCTAAAACACTGTTCCCGAATAACTTTGCCGTACAGGTTAGGATTATCAATCCATCAGTTTATTTTTTCCAAGAATCCATATTTTGTGATACAACCTCTGGATATAGAATGTGCTTGTTGAGTGCGCACAATTTTGTGTGAAGTCCACTGTTCGTTTTGACTGCACAGGTTTTCTATGAGTATGAAATAGACCGTGAGTTGTGGATGTAAGCATGGCGAGTTTTGGAGAGTTCTGTATCCTGGGGTATAACGCTTTGTGGTCCGTTGAAAGTCATCCGACATTTCGGAGGAACGTATCGCCTCAATCTCCGAGGTCGAGAAGCAGTGCTTGCCATCAGATTTCACGCCGGTTTCTTGGCTAATTTTTTCTTTGACCCAGAAGATGGTTGCCACATGTTTCTGGGGAACGTCGGTCGACTGTCAACAGAGTACATGGCGTTATATCCCAGAAGACAGAATTCTTCATAGCCACAACAGTGGAATATCAAATCTTACATTATCAGTTTTGAAAGATTTTATGATGTATATGAATTTGAAACGGTGGATGGCAGTGGAACATGAAATCTTACATTATCAATTTTGAAATATTTTATGATGTATATGATTTTGGACTGACAGATGTGTTATTCTTGTTGTGTACTATGTTGCTTTTCAGAATTTTGCTATTATTCAGTTCAAAATTGACCCATACTTGGTTTCAGTTTATTTTTGGACAGCCAGGAAAGGAGCAGTGTAACCTAGCATTTAATGCAATTGTGGCATCTTAGAGTGAATGTATCAATTCCAACTGAGTGATATTTGATGTTAATGTGTAAAAGGTATCTTTAAGTATTCCTACATTTAGAGTCTGTGAAGGATTAGCTGCAGTCTTGCAATGCTACATACTGCAGTTGCTAGTTTATATAAATTCAATTGCAGCCAGTTTTGAAAATAGTAAAATATATTCAGATGGCTTTTTAATTTTAATATCTTTTTGTCCTGTTGATGTCTTCTCCTGGTTTATAATTTGAGGCAAGTGTAGCTTTTATGTTCTAAGTACACAACCAATAAGGGCCTAAATTGTGCTGAATGATGAACCACTTGAACAGATATGTACATTGAAATACCTGGGGTATAATATAGGCATTGACCATCTTCATGATTTTATCATGGAATTAAGTAATTATTAAACTATAGTATGTGTGGCACAGTGAAGAGAATGATAGGTGGCAGAGCAAGAACGGATTCTCTTCAAATTTTATAAAGTAATGGCCATATCTGCTTTGCTATACAGATCAGAGTGCTGGATCCTAACTAAACAACAGGAGGTCTGAATTGAGATGGCTTAAATTAAGTTCTTAACACTTTGTGGACCGGCATTTTAAATATTTAAATCACCCTGCAGACCGGCATTTTTATACCTACTACCCTAACTTGTGCACTCTTCACTTCAAAAATTAATATAAAATCTCCTAATTAATTTTATGAACTAAAATTTTTTGAGAACACTTACCAATGCTTCTAGAAGTGCTTGAGGGTGTGAAATTTCTCGAAACATTCCCCTCTGTGAAGTGGCATTACACAAAACTTGCAAATGTAGGCAGTCCTTCTCCTTTTCTTGTGAATTGTGCAAACATGGCATTGCCTAGAAGGCTGCTTCCCCTTGAAATGTTCACTCTTCACAATTTTCGTGAGGGTATGTTTCTGCATATCACCCGAGAGTTGCCCAGGGGTGTCAAAATGAGGCCTGCGTTAGGTGGGAGTAGATGGCCCCGGTCGTACTAAGACTGTGTCTGCCACCGTGTGGTCTGTAGCCCAGGCTTTTGCCACATTCAACAGAAATGCCTTGTATTTCAATTTAAAATGAGGGTTTAGATTTTTGAAAACCAAAAATGAATTGAAAATGGCACAATTTATAAGCCACAAGGCAACTTTCTTTGTCCACTTTGCTGTTTTCTGAGGAAGAGAATAATAGGCCAAGTACTGATTGGCTCTATCACCTCCCTTCATGAACATATTATACTCCGAAATACAAACAGGCTTCTTTACCTGTCCATGTCTCCTTTGAACATCAACCATGCTCGAATTGTGAATTGTGGAAATCATATTCACAACATGAGTATCCCTCCAGGACTGAAGAAGAATATCCCCCTTCCTCCTGAATGTGGTTTCACCACGTTTCAGGTATTTACATTCCTCTTTCAGATCTGGAGGCAGGCCTCTGTTCACCCTAATTGTTCCACAAACACGTACTTTTCTTGAAAATGGGTGTTCTGCAGTTGCCACACTGTTATAATAATTGTCTTGATAGACATGGTAATTTTGATCAAGATAGGGTTCCAAAACAGAAAGAATAGTTTCTTGTAATTTCTTTCCTTCACGAGAATAAATTTCTAATATAGCCTGAAGTGCCTTCAGTAACTACACGAACAAGTAGGCCATACTTTGTAAGTTTCCCAGGATTATATGTTCACATACAAAGCCTTCCCCTCCAAGGAATCACAGATTCGTCCAAAGACAGTTGTTGGTTTGGCTTATAAACTGTCTGAAATTTCTGAACGAAAAAGTTCAGTAAGGGCTGAATTTTGAAAAGCCTGCATGTTGATTGTGGTTGCAGTTCATTATCATTGAAATGCAAACACCACCAAATTTGCTCAAATCTCTTACGGCTCATTAGTTTGCTGAAAATTGGAATTTCTAAATATGGATCTGTTGACCAATACTCTTTCAGATTATCCCTCCTTGTATGGCCCATTAGAAAGATAATTGCCAAAAAATTTTCTCATTTCTGCTGAAGTGACATCCACCCACTTCAACGCCTTATAACTTCTGTTATAATATCCACGGTGTTGGAGATAGTATCTGTTAGTTTCCTGACATAGCATGTCAAAGAAACTATCTCCAAAAAACAGTTCCGCTACTTCAGACACTTGCATTGGGTCCGATGGAATTTGCTTCACCCCTGGATTTCAGTAAACTGCCCCAAAGCAAGCTTTTTGTCTACTTTCCCCATGTGGCTGTCCCCGCAGTGTTGCTACCTGCACATTCGTCAGAGCTACGGTCACTTTCACTTTCACTGTCTGTGGTCACAATTTTTTGTTCGCCCCTGCCACACTCACTATCAGATTGTGAGTCACTATCACTAGCAGACTCACAAGGGACATCAGATAGCTCATCGGAGAAGAAGTCAGATATTTCTTGTTCTCCAAGAAATTGCTTGGGTGTCAACCGCTTTGGTCTTTGATCCATATTGAACTACTGACTGACAGCTTGCTACGTAAAGCTTGAAGAAATAAAGGCATTTATTTTCCTTTGCAGGGCCATAGAGTTACAGCGAGGTCTAGTAACTGATTGGTCAGCAGACATTCCAGAGCCTTATAACGCAGCTGCAAGCAGCTACGTGCTAGCTAGGTGGAGCCAGAGAGATGTATAGTGTGTTGCAACTTATCATGTTTTAAAAACCTGTTAACACGCGAACGGTCCACCGTGTTTAAAAGTGAAAAACCTTTTAAAGGTTGCACGGTCCGCAAAGTGTTAAGGTCTGTTGCAGGTTGTAGGTAGTAGTGGTGGTAATGGTTATGTACTGCAACTTCGTTGTTAGCCTGCAGGTTTCCTCACATTCCCCAAAGCAGCCTATGACAATTACTTAATGGAGTTTTATTATTTTGTTTCTGCAATTTCAGCATCTGGTTTCTTTGAAATATTCTTACTAGGGCTAATAGGCCATGGATGTATGGTAGATGAACTGACATTTCCCCTATACATGCTAGATGATTGTGAAATATCATAAAAAAGGGAAAATGCCATTACTCAGAATTTGTCTTTTTTTCCTCAGTTGTGAGTTATTTTGTGATGTTTGCATGTAAGCAATGTTGAACAGCGCTTTTGAAGCCATCAGAAAGAGAACTTGCAGACATTGAAAAGTTGGGTTAGAAACACTTCACAGTAATTTGTGAAATTAAGTTTACATAATATATGATTTGAGGTTTGGACATACATTGTTATGAAGAGTTCCATCCTCTGGGTTATAGAAATGTGATACAGAATCAAAACATGTTTGCTCTTTAATTTGTTCATGGAAGTTCTTGTAGGTGACATGTGATTGATGAGTGAAAGATTTCAGTTACATACACAGTGTTTAAAAAATTGGTGAGAGGCATTAGTGGGTGTAGTCAGAAGTTAAAGGCTATGTGGAACTATTTTCCACAAGATAGAACTCTTTTTCAGTTTACAGTATTTGTGAGTAAAGTTTTATTTAAAACAGTATTAATGTATGAAGTAAATTTCAGAAACTTCAGTTTTTAGTAGGTATTTAAATAAGTATTTTTATTGTCAGACTTTTTAGATTATTTGCAAATGAGTTAGTATATATTACAGCTTTCAGACATAGATTGATGTGACACTGGTTCATAATATTTTATTTCAGTTTGAAGCGTACCACATTGAGAAAGCAGCCAAAAATGTGAAAGAAGCTGCAAAATGCTTCAGTGCAATGTGAGTATTATCACTTTACACGTACATTTACATTTATTTATCATTTCATGGATCCAATCATCTCCCCATAGGGCTGGCTATAAAACATGTCACATATTACAAATTCACGATGACTACACAGCATTCGTCCTTGGTCCAATAAAATATAAAATCAAGCCTGAGACAGAATAGATCAAGTTGTCAGGACAACACACATAAGTCATGGAAAAACCACAATCAGATTCACACCTTGCCATTCCACACATGCTGGCAAGCCATATCATCCAAACAGTTACATTATGAAATATTAAAATTCATAACAAAAAACAGACATCATACATACTACTACACTTACAACAAGCAAGTCTCAACAATGTATAATTGACACACACAGTCCATTTATTAACTCTTAACTTTTGAGTCACTTACATGCTTGACATATTCATCAATAGAGTAAAATGCGTTACTTTGCAAATATTGTAAAACAAACCTAAATTGCTGTTTATCATTTTTTAAAATTGTGATATTTGACTGCAGATTATTAAATAGCTTGACACCTGAATAATACACCCCTCTCTGATAGGATGATGAATGTGTTGAAGGTATATGAAGGTGGTCATTCCTTCTGATACCAATGACATACGAGGGGGGACCCAAAAATAACCAGAAACGACCTGTTGCGCGCGCATGCTTTGTAGTTACGAGTTGTGCTGCTAGGTGGTGTTAGCTGGGGGTCTCCCGCGACTGTTAGTGAGCTGGCGTCAGTCTGAGTTAAGTGGTTTGTCTGTGGTGCTCTGTTGTGTGCGTGCCTGTTTCAACCCTTTGGCGATTAGTGAGAAGGCCAACCAGAAGGAACAAAGAGTGTGCGTGAAATTGATGAAGATCGTCAAAAGACCATTGACCAACTTTCTGAGGAAACGAACATCTCGTGGAGCACGGTCCAGCGAATTTTAACCGAAGGTTTCCACATGAGATGGGTGTCTGCAAAATTTGTTCCTCGCTTGCTCGGAGATGACCAAAGAGGAAANCTAGCAGCACAACTTGTAACTACAAAGCATGCGCGCGCAACAGGTTGTTTCCGGTTATTTTTGGGTCCCCCTTCGTATACAGAGTTATTGGTTTGAAACTTATCCAAATTATTAGCAACAAATACTATCAATGAGAGCAAATATACACATGGGATTGATAGTATGTCAAGCTTTTTAAATAGATCTCTACATGTATGAGTTGGGCCCACTGCCATCATTATTCTTATTATTTTCTTTTGTATAACAAAGACCTTATGAATGTCTGATGTGTTTCCCCAATATATTATTCCATATTTCACCAATGAATGATGATAATATACAGCTTTAAGACTATTTATATTTAATATATAGGATAATTTATGCATTAGAAAACCAACTGTGCTCAACTTGTGAAGCAAAAAATCAATATGTCCCTTACAAGTCAGATGATTGTCCAGCTGCAAACCGAGAAATTTTATTGTTTCTACTTCTTTCAGCTTTTTTGTTAAAAACCAATGTACATAGAAGGTAGCTTGTAGCTGCTGTGGGGTGAATTTTATCATTTTTGTTTTATCCAGATTTAACACTAATTGGCTATTTTGAAACCACGAAAACATATGATTGAAAACAACATCCAGTTTTGTTTTTAAATTATAGTAGTCTTTTCATTCATTCATTTTTATTGGTTCCAGAAATCCACATTTTGCAATACAGCCTCCAGATATAGAACAAGTCAACTTATTTGTATAAAAGTCAGTAGTACTATAATTTAATATTTAACTACATACACAAATTGTGTACATGTCCAACATACCATATAAAACTATATTAAAAATTTAAGACAACATAAGTTGGTGTCTCCACCTTATCGTGGTGAGGGTGTTTGAGTATGCCAAGGACCCTGAGAGCTATACCAGCGGTAGCGTAGCTACTGGCAGGGCCTCCCTTGCTGGACAGGTCAAAGGGTAGGCATCAGACGAAGAGAGACACCGAAAACTGATGCCGGAAGCAGCGTCATCAGCGGCGACTTGAAGCACAGAGAAAATGATGCTCGAGATGGTTCAAGTTCGTATAGCAACAGGCGTGACCAGAGTGGTTTGAACGGCTGTTGTACTGCGATGTGGAAAGCAAATGGAAAAACTACCACATTATCACTTTTCCTGGATAGTCTCTTTCCAAAAACAGAAGATCGCATTAAGTGGAGAAACTGTTTTGGAAGAGGCTGTGGACCTGTCATCTGACAGATTACTGATGAATGAATGAAGTTCCCCAACAGAGTAAGCAATTCAATCCATTTCACATCAGTCAATCAATCAACCAATCCATTCTTCCTTCCTCGTCAAATCACTGTCATAGGAAAACATTCCATACATATTAAACATACAATAGTTCAATTTCTATAATTAAAAATAAATACCCCCTTTTCACAAACATACCATCTTTAATTTAACATAATGTAACGTGTCTGGAATCCAGAAGTGTCACTTCTATAGAAACGCTACGATAGACCGTTGCATAGGAAACAACAATTGCTCCATTGTAGTTCTAACAGGAGTCTCCATGGTTATAACAAAGGGTTCGTTGCATAACAGCGGCCGAGGTTATAAAAGTCCAGTTTCGACGAGAAGTCTTCAGTCTCGGAATAGCCGTCTAAGGGATGCGTCCTGGAACAACCGCCAGAGAGGAGATAGTCCAGCATCGCCGAGTTGTTGTAAGCAGTGATTGTAACACTGCAAGTGCAGATGATTGTAAAGTGTGTGTAAACGAGTGAAAGAAATAAATCCGCTATATCAGACAACGGCGTGAACTTATTTGTAGCGTGACACACCAGACACGCTACGTTGGTGTCAGAAGTGGGATACGAACTTACACACGTGACCGACGAGATTCGATCTCAAGACACGCTACAATATATTCCTCTACAGAATGAAACGTATGTTGTACCAGATATGACCTCATTACTTTTTTAAACTGTCTCATTTTTTCTATCTCCCTGATTTTATTTGGTATTTTATTCCCATATCCAGTACTCCTTTCTTATAGGCATTTGTTCTGCAAGACTGAGCATGGAGATTTAACTTCTGGCGTGTATTGTGATTATGAACTACGTTATTTTGTTCTAACTTTTCTAAATGTAGTTTAACATGACATACTATAATATTATATTTAAGCATCCTGTTGCACTCTGTACGATAAATGATATGAACTCCGTCCCAAGTGCAAACAATATGTTCTATGTCCTTGATCTTGCTCTCCTCTACACTACATGTTTTGGCCTCAAACGGCCATCATCAGGTGTATACACTCACGTTGCTGTTACACTGCACTTAGTTTAAAATTTAACATTTAAAAACACGTTCCTTTCGTTGTTATTATCAACATCTACTTCGTTGATATCTGCCTGGCTTATAGATTATTTTTGTTACACGCGTTAGCATTTATAAAATCTTTAGTTCTAATTTTAAAATCCTTTAAAATTTTTCTCTAAATTTTAAATTTTAGAGATCTGGCACTACCAGATTTTCTGAGAAATAGTGGGTCTGGAATGGCATCAACTCAGCCTTGTGAGGATAATTGAGGAGCTCTTTAAAGGAAGTAGCAGCTCCTGTCTAGAAAACCGAGATTAACGTCCGTGGGGAACCATTGCGCTGACCATGTGACATTCTTTGTCCACAAAAGTTGGAACTAACTTCTCCGTGAAGCGGCGATTGCTCGGTCGGTATAGTTTGCTTGCAGACTACAGGACATGGAGTTTTTTTTTTTTCTTGTTTCATATCTTTGCTGGCTGCCAACTGTTATGCAGCTAACGCATTTTACCAGCTGAACTCCCCACTACAGCTCTCCATGGCCACTACCCCTAGTCATTGACTAACTCTAGCCATGTTTGATCACCAGTGGCTAGTACTTACTGCTTGCAGATTTGCTATGACACACTGGTTTGTCTGGCTGGCCTCCCTATATAGAGCCAGCATGGGCCACACAGAAAACACCGTCTCCATAGTTTCCGCATTGTGTATATTCAAGAATTTCTCCATTTCACATGTGTGTCCATTGCTGCAGGAATGTGGTTATTTGTGAATCACTGTTTGTCACCAGATTTTCAGTGGCTCTGTGGCCCACCCAGACTCTTCTCCAGGGGAAATTATTGTTAAGGTTAATGATGCATGGATCTGTGTCTTCACTCCCTGTCAAATGCTTTTATGACATAATGGTTGTATACAAAGATCATTTTAAATTTGTGTTCCAATTTTGGGCCTTAATTAAATAAAATATCACTGTCCTATTTCTGATTGTTGTAGATTCCAAAAATTCCAGGATGAAGGAGAGATGTGGCAAGAAGTGCAGGCTTTGACAACATCTCTTAGATCAGATACAGAAGAACCTGATGCTGTTTTTCTGAGAGACATGTTTTCTCATATTCCTTTGGGTGAGTGATTATGTGTTAGCTACCTCCCAGATGGCCACATTTGCTAGGCAGTTCTCTCTTGGGACCAGAAGTGGCTGCTTATATATTGAGAGATTTTTTTTTTTTGTTTGTAGCTAATTGATTTGTATTATTAATACACTTGTAACAGAATCTGATGATTCCTCACCGCTAATGCAGATTCCTCACTGCTAATGCAGGAACCTGCCATTTTACACGATCGTTATCCACTTGACAACTGCATAAATATTTCTGTAACATTAATTTTCAAATCTCAGTATCCTATCTTTATGTTGGTTTTCAGTTGAACATTTTCAAGAGGTTTTCTCACCAATATTCTATTTCTTATTTTCCATATCAAGCCTATTTATTCAATGGAGGGACTTTTGTGAACAGAATTGTGAACCATTTCCATAATATAATTTCTTGACTGAATGAATATCGTCACTCAAGAAAGAGTATTTAATATCTGGTGGTCAGTCTGTCTGTTGCTTTCAGTGCAAATGTGGTAGGATTATTACAAAGGATAAGTGAGGAGGAGTTGTGGGCTGTCTTAAGGTATTAGCTTGTTATTTTTTTATATAGTTTGAGAAAATCCTGAAAATGTGCATGAAGATGGCCAGTCCATAGGTGGGATCTGAATTAGGTACATCTTGAATATGAGTCAGCTATCTTCCTGCTTTGCTTGTACAGTCAAACCTTTATATATTGTCATGTGTCAATGACCTGACACAGGGTTTGGATTGATAGTTGGATTTATTGTAGCACTGTTGCTAATTCACATACTTGACTTCCATCTGCAATACACACTAAGTCTTGTTTTTGCTAGCCAGTGCTGGCCTACAGCTCCCTTGCTGAGCTACACACTTCACAGTTCACTACAGCACACTGTATCTTCTCACTTAGCTATGGCTTCATGTTATCATTGCTTGGTGGCAGCTCTCCCCAACATGGAGATTCATGCTCGTTGAGCATTTACCACACAGTGGACAATGCAAACTTGTCACAGTATATTGAGTTGCCATATTTGAGCCTCGTCCATGATATGTAAGCAGTGTCCGTCTTTTAGTGCACTCAATTTTACTTGTTACTTCACAACATGTTTCGGCACTACAGTGCCATCATCAGGTGGTAACAACACCCGCAACCAAACAGGGAACACGCAACACGAGACATGATATACCCTGAGAATAAGAGGAACGACTCCCATATTGGTGAAACTATGCGTGGTGTTAGAATTGGGACAGATAAGATAAATAATCTTAACAAGTTTTTAGTATATATATTTATTATAATTGACGAACATTTTTAAATACTTTTTAAATTTTACAATGACGTAATGGCAGGCAATGAAATAGATTGACGTAAATAGAGCACCTGATGATGGCACTGTAGTACCGAAACATGTTTTGAAGTAACAAGTAAAATTGAGTGCACTAAAAGACGGACATTGCTTACATATCATGGACGAAGATCAGTGCAACAGGACGCTAAAATACAACATATTTGAGCCTGTGTAACAAAAACTATTCATTGTGGATTACCAGGTTTTCATGTCCTTGCTGGGAAGTACCTTAGAGCAAGCCATGACTTATACTACAGCTAACTTAATTTTCGTTTTTTAAAAGATATTGCTATAATATAGGATGAAAAACAAAAATTAATCACTTGTAATAGAAAATTGTTTGTGTTTAAACTAAAACGGTTACAAGTCAGGTACAAATGATGGTAATGTTGTCTCAGTGCTCAGTTACAGTCTGAATTAAACAGACTTATGAATAGAAAATTATAATTAATTTGTTTCAAACAGGCAGGCAGTGTCATCATGAGGTATAAGAGTAAATTTCTAGTCAGTTTAACAGAAGTGTTACCTAACATATTACAAGTTTTACTGTTGTTGTCACTTCTTTCCATATTTTTATACTAAGCTATCAGAGGTTTACTCTATCCTGTGCTTTACTTTCATTTACAGTTCAGTAGTGTCAGTTTTAATTTACTTCTTATTGAGAGAACAGGGTAATATTAGTATTACAGCTAATGATTTATCTTGTAGTACATTGAATTGACATTGTAAAAAGAGATTATGATTGTCATAATTTTTATTCAGTGATGCATGTGATTTTATAATAATCATAACTGCTTCATTTATTCTGGGAAATATTTATAGAAATTTTAAATTATAGCAACTTTGGTATCTGTTGCAGCTCTCATATGAAATAATGCCTGTAACTGGATAGAATTTGCTTGAAAAAATTTTCAAGATTTGTAAAATTGACTTAACCTCTGACTGTTATAGATGTGCAACACCAACTTCTTCTTATGACAGCAGAGCACAGTGAAGACACAATGGAACATTGCCGTTTGCTTCTTCTTCTGCTCCGAAGGTTTCCACAGACTGTTGCTCAACATGGGGTGAGTCCAGTAATGTGGGAATAGTTTTATATTGTCACAGAATATGTCATGAAAAATCATAAGGGATGAAGTTGCAAGAAATGTGTTATGCTATTTTTTAGAAGTGCCAGAATATTCTGTAGAGGAATGGATGCCTGCAATAGCAATGGTATCTTTCAGCTATACAGATATTAAATATTCTTAGTCAAGACCAATAAAATAACATTTGACAAACTTGCTGTTAGGAAGTACAATTAAAATGCTTTGTCATAGGCTAAGAGCATACTGATACATCAATAAAACTAAGCAACATATTTGAATGAAATTTTGTAATTTATTGGCTGTGTAGATATAAGCAGTGTATGGATGTAATGGATATATATCACCATACATCTAAAATTCTCATGGTGGCACCTAGGATTTACTTCATATAGCATTACTAGTTCACGTCTTGTCAGAGATGATTATAAAGTTATTTATTACATTCTTTATCCTAATATCTCTGTCTTCTTCTTACCTTTCTCCATCCAATCCCAAAGTCATTCATTTGACCATCCTATCATCATTCCTCTCCATATTTCTTTCTCTCTCTTTTTCACACCAATTCCACTATCCTGTTTGTGCACTTATCAACTTTTCACCTTTCTTCTTCATTCCTTTCCAATATTTTTTTATGTTCATCATGTCATCATTCCTCTTGCCATATCCTCATCATGGCAGAAGGTAGGTAACATTTTCCCCATTTCCTAGCAATGGCATGTTGAGTTTTTGCCCAAATATGAAAGCAAGTGGCTATTATTCATGTGTAAATATTTCAGTTGTCATTTTGTTTATGATTATTAATAAATTGTTAATAAGCGTAACACAGACTGATGATGACTGGAAGGTCAAGACATGTTATAAGAAAATATTTTGTATAAAACTGCAAATATGTGTTGTTCAGGTGAAATTCTATACATATTGCTTCCAAATGCACAAGATGACACAAGGATACAATAAGGCATATAATGGCTGAGATAAGAGCATGTACAAATACATGAATTTGGAGCAGAACCTAGTACTATATAATGTTAACATAAATTTTAACAAAATGTTCCTGAGAGAAAACATAATATCAGAACATGCCAAGTAATTATAAAAACACACAAGAATAACATAGTAGTATGTGAAAATAAAACAAACATTAATATATACAAATACAATAAATAAGCAAGAAAGTTTACCAAGGATGCATATACAATCCCAAGTAATGGAAATATAAATGAAATAACAGCATCTAATGCATACTAAAAATTCAACTCAGAAAAGAAAAAGATGCACCAAAAACACAACCAAGAGCTTAACAAACTTCAAGAATAAAAAAATTAAAACAAAACAAGACCAAAACAACCAACATGAATTCCACTCCAGAATATGAAACCTTACAAATGTACAACAGTTGTATCTTCTGGGATACAACACCATGTAGTTCATTGAAAGTCAACTGATGTTTTGAAGGAACATATCACCTCCATCTTCAGGGTTGAAGAATAAGCCAAGAAAGCAGCTGTGCTTGCCACCTGCTTTCATGCTGGTTTCCTGCTTGACTTATTCACTGACCCAGAAGATGGAGGTGACAGGTTCCTCCATAACGCTGGTTGACTTTCAGCAGACTACACAGTGTTATGTTCCCGAAGATAGATATCTTCATCACCACTGCTGTGGGAACCTCAAATCTTACATACAGTTCACCTCAGACGAAGGCAGACTGTTAGATAAGGGACTACAATACAACCTTCATTTCAAACAGAAAAATTGAATTCAGGCACTTAAACTGAAATTGCTATAAGCTCCTACACAAAAGAGACAGGTGCACTGTCAAGAAATATAAAAGAAATTCCTGAAAAGTATATACGCAACACAAAGACAACAAGACTTAAATGGAAAGCAGTGAATAGTGATTGACATCAGAAATGAAATGCTGTAACAGAAATTAACAGTAACTCAAGTGATCCAAGGGAGAACAGTAGTTGCAGTGCACTATCACAAATATAAAAAGACAGTAAGTAATATATTATGAAATTAATTCACACAAATTACCCAGAATTCATCTAATCCATATAAGGATATGTGGAACAAACCATTAAACAGTGAACCAACCATGTACTGTCAAATCAGATATGAATATTAAAATATGAATCCCGAATCTTCAAACATACATGCTGCAGCAGAAATAAACAATGAATAACAGTATGACTCACAGTTAGCTGGGGCAATTCCTGTTATACCACTTAGCAAGTTGCCTGTCCAGATAATAGAACAGAATATCCAGCTACAGTACACATGTAATGTAAATAGTACAGTTAATCTTATTACAGACCAGCAATACATAACATTAATTAGATGCCAGAGTGTGCTCCTTCCACATATCAAGCATGAACACAAACATACCTATGCATCAAGTCAGAAATGTAATACAAACCAAAGATTTGTTTCCTACCTGCCGCCTGCTGGTTTTTTGCTTGGCATATTATTCAACACTGAAGATGAAGGCGACATGTTCTCTGTCATTTTTGTTGACTTTAAATGTATTACACAGCATTATATCCCAGAATACAGAATTCTGGATGTTATCTGTTGTCTGGTTGTTTGGTATTCACAATGCTTTGAATCTGGGATGTTATGCTGCACTCAGGCTTTTAATTTTCTGGATCCCTGAGATATTTAGTAAGCTGGTTATCAGATTAATTAAAAAAAACTGCCAGTTTATGGCTGCTGTCACGTGAAAGTAAAGTGAATTGAAAAGCAAATGACAGTAATTGGGATCAGTAGGGCTGTGCCATAGCTCAAGTGGTTAGTTGCTGGCTTCCCACCGTGATGGCCCGGGTTTGATCCCGGGTCTGATCAAGTGGGATTTGTGGTGGACAAAGTGGCGCTGGGGCATGTTTTCTCCAAGTACTATGGTTTCCCCTGCCAATCTTCATTCCACCAATTGCTCCACACTCACCCTTGCCTATCATCTGGGACTGGTACAATAGGCCAGAAGTGGCTGCAGTGCAAGGGACTTAGTCCCACCCCACTAGCAATAAAAAAAAATGGGGATCAGTCATCTGGAGATGAAAATAATCTGTTCCCATGTTGTTATATGTCAAATAAACCTCAGCAAGTGAACAGTCGCCAACAGATTTTGTTATATTAAATTATTCACAGGTTCAAGTAATGTGAGAGTGATTACTCTAATTCTGATATCCTTACTGATTGTTGCAAATAATTTTAATAACATATTGTTGCAGCCGAGACTTGTAGATACCTTGATGACAGCAGAGAAACATAGCCATTATCAAAATTCTGTGAACTGCTTCCGCAAACTACTTGGTAAGTTATGGAAGTTCTTTTCCAGTTCATGTTCATGTAGAATTTCATAAACAGATTGACAAATGATGGGAGTTCAGTGTTTTATATCAGTTACATTTCTAATATGGAGTTAGTATCATAATTTTGCAATTCTTTAGGCCATTGATTCCCATCCTGTATTTCTACCAGACTTCGTGAGAGGTTCCAAAGTATTCTGTAGATTGATTCTCTAATGCTGGATTGGTTACAACCTCTCTTAATTACAGTCAATATAGTGATATCACTGATTTACACACTTTACAGTTCACAGTTACGTACGTACTAGGATTCTCTGTCTTCACTAGTTGTCTCCTGGCAGTGGATCTCAACACTGAAAGTAGCACTTTAAAACCCTATGAAGTCCTCTGGCCATTTCTTCTTCATTCATTCTGGAACTCAACTGCACTCTCCTGAACTCAAAATTGAACTTCCCATGGTTGTCTCCTACCAAGAACTCACTTGAACAGAGCTGCACTTAAACTGAAAAGTATTATATCTGTAATTGTCATTATGTAGCCTCTGCACTGACCATGCACGGAAAACACAGTCCTGTTGCTGCATAAGGAAGACCACAAAAGGAATGAGTCATATGATAGCTACTTCGCCAGTCCACTGTTGTGCTGATGGTTGCCCAACAATAAGCTATAAATGTTTGTCCTGTTGTTAAATGGGTTTAAGTGAGAAGGAGTTTTATCGTGTCATTGCCTAGCTATACATGTTACAATATGTTTCGTTAAGCATTTTTCTATGTTAAAATAGCAAACATGGAGGTGATATGTAATTTTGAGGTTATGTTTAGTTGTGGAAATTGCCGACAACTATAGATCACTACACAAGATAATTATTTCCAGGAAATCATAATTCTTGTCCTCCTGTTCCAGATTGTAACACCTAAAGGATAGTAGGTGGTATACATGTATGTTTTTGCTAGGAATTTAAAATGCCCATATTACAGTGTGTAAAGAAAATATCTGGTGTTACTTTTCCATTATTGTGCAAGTGGAATTTTTCTCAAGTACTGGTATGTGTGCTCCCATTCACACCAACTTTACCTTCTTATTTTATTGTTTTAGTGTGTGATCTCCTACCACTTCTGGGGTCAAATTCAGTTGAACTTCCAGCAAAGCAACTATTCCGATTGTTACACAAGTCAATAGAATTTTACTTGTGTTACCTCATGTCACCCAGCAAGGCAATACAGGTATGCAATTAATGAGGGAGATTTGGATGAGTTATCCATACTCCTTTTCTTGAGGATACAGATAAGAATAAAGTAATACCTACCCATGTTATATTGACTTGAAAACAAATTATAGATGAATTCAACTTGACATATTCAGTGTCAAACAGCAGATCATTGATGTAGGTATTATTTTTTTTATTGCTAGTGGGGTGGGACTAAGTCCCTTGTACTGCGGCCACTTCTGGCCTATTGTACCAGCCCCAGATGATAGGTGAGGGTGATTGTGGAGCAATTGGTGGAATGATGATTGGCAGGGGAAACCGAAGTACTTGGAGAAAACCTGCCCCAGCACCACTTTGTCCACCACAAATCCCACTTGATCAGACCCGGGCCACCACGGTGGGAAGCCAGTGATTAACCACTTGAGTTACGGCGCGATGATCAGTAGGTAAGTCTGGTTTCCAGTGTGACTTGGCATGCAGTTATTTTTATTTTTAAGGGTTTCTGTATTTTTTATTCTTGAGTTTTTTTTAATTTCTTTGTTAGAAACAATGTTTAAAGGATGGTTAAGTCCAAAATTAATTTTTCTGTTCTGACACTAAGTCAATGAATTTTTGTAAATTAAATACTACTACATAATTTAGTTTGTATAAATTGGGGAGTGGCCAGGGCCTGAAGCTAGTGACAAGTTCAAGAAAATGTGGATCTACACAACCACTCCCCCATACTTCTTCTTGGGATATTGTTTATTTAGTTAAGCACTGGGACAACTTCTTTTTAATAAACTGGTGAGACACTGGGAAGTTGAAATTATCATGTTCTACAGTGGTGACTGCTTTGGATAGAATAAACTCAGAATCATGTGCAAGAGTGGTCTTTGGAATTAGGATCTTGTAATCAGAAACTACTATTACTGGACTCTTAGTTGATTATCTTATTCAGACAATGGATTGTCTAGGTTTGTATTTTCCAGTCAGAAATCTGTCATCCTGAATTACTTTATTTGTTGTTATTTAAATCCAAAATGTCATGCTGTGTAAAATTGCTGCAAGCATTGTTGGTTGGTCATGTTACTTATAACAGTGCTGTGAGTATCAGCACTATATAGCATCAGTTTTAGAAAGATTATTTTAGATGAGAGAATTACAGAGAGATTCAACTGGCTCGGTATAAGGAACAGCAAGTACTGTTTTGTGGATACATTAATGAATGTGTGGGTTCTGTAAAAGACAGGAATTTCTTGTCCAGCTGAGTGGCTGTCAGCTTCTAAAAGCAGACTGTGTCACACAGTTAATCTGTTGTATCAATGAACTCTAGCATTACTGCATGTAGTAGAACTCCCGTGTAATGTTTCTTGATTAAAGTTTTTTGTCATTTAACTTTCAATTTCACTGATCCTAAGGCAATAACCTCATGTTAATTTCCTCCGTGTAAGATTTCTCCAGTCTAGTATTAAAATCAACTGCTCTTCAGAGAAACCTTATATGGCAATTTCACTGTAGTGTGAGGATTACTATTTTAAGCTGTTTCTATGTTAGAATTAATATATTTACAATATTTTTATTGCTGAATGTTGATTTATCATACAAGTATTTGGTTTCTTGTTTACATTTGTGTGTTAGTGAAACATATGGCATAATGCAGTAAATGAAGTGAATTGTTTGATGTTAATTTTAAGAGTGAACGTTAGTGATAGTATAACTCAGCTCTGACTAATCTCAATATGGTATTATTTCTACTTGATAATCTAATGACACTTGTTTAAACAATGGAAGCCAGTGTATGTTTACTAGTTGATAATTGATTCATAGGATTTACCAGAGCTGGAAAGCAAGATAGAAGATCCATGGAAGAACTTGTTTGTAATTCAGGAAGCAATGGGAAGAAAGCTAGGATGGGAGCTTAGTGCAATGTTTGGACACTCCTGGTAACTTTCTGCTTTAGTGTTTTGTTTATGGCAATCTGTTGCAACGTTGTTAAATTATAATATATCCTTTGATTGATTGATTGATTTATTTATTTAACATCCATAACTGTTACATTATGTACAATTGGACAAGTCAGTTTTATAAAAAAATATATGAGATTAAACATCACATCAAATGACTAATAATATAAAAAACCATAGAAAAATAACATAATAAATCCTTTAAATATGATAAAACAGCGGATGAGTATAATAAGGCAACAAAAGCTAAACTATAAATTACATGCAATATCTAAAATAAATTACCTAAGTATCTTCGTTCTATTATTAAGCTAATAATAAGATTGATAAGAGAGTTGTTGATTTGTTTAGGAAAATGCATATGGTCAGTGTATATGGGGCCATCAAAATAGAATTCTGGTAGTACAAAGAATATATTTCATGAAATAGTTACCTTAGAAACATGACATTAAACCAGAAGTTTGCCCAGAGAAAGGGAATGTGTAGTTTTCTCTTTCCTGAGTAAAATTGAAGGCAAGACAGTTTCTTGATTTAAATGTCTTTCTGAAGAAGCCACCTTCCACATGAATAGTATGGTAAGTCATCACAGTTGTAAAATGTAGGTCCCTCATTGACATGCCTCATGTAATGGAGAAAGCATATCATACTCCAAAAATTAATGTATTTGGTGCAAAATTGTATTAAGTGACACATTCTTCTGAAAAAAAAAAAAAGGAACAGATGACAGCTGAACTAATAGAATCTGTTGGAAATTTGTCTCTTTCCTAAACCAATAATATTGGATAAAACAGGTAAATTTGTGGTTTGTGGTTTCATTGGAATGGAAGGGATAGCACAGTTATCTGGACCCCAAGAAGTCCTGTTGTGACCACACTGCTGCTTCTTCTTTAGAGTCTTGCATCAAGAATAGTTCCTATGATTGAAATATATGACATATAAGAAAGAGACACTGCAGCCATTGCAAATATTATTTCAAACATACTGGGATGTATCAGCAGATAGTGAATGTCATTTTAGATAAATAGCACCTACATCTATATACAATGAAACCTGAATATACTACACCCTATTATACTTCAGACCCAAATTACTGGGGACATATTGTGTTTTATTTCACAGCAGTTAATCTGAAAAATGTTACTCATAATAGAAGTTTTTATTGTCACATTTTGTGCCATGCTATATGGGTATAGAGATTAATGTCCATATTACAATATGAGTGGGCGCAATATCATTCTGGGTTTTCTATCATTTTCATCAATTACATTTATTAAAGGGTGACATGGAGCACAAAAGTAATTTATATGGTATTATTTTAAGTTGAAACAACAGGATGTTCTAGAAATCTGGCTAAGAAAACAGCATATTCTGGTTTAAAAGAGAAGTTGCAAGGACAATGTGCTTTGTACTATGCTCAAAGCTGACTAGTCATTAGTAAGTTAGCAGTCCCACAGCAGTGACCACCATAATTAAAAGTTATGCAGTCGGCAAACAGTTCAAGGTATCAAAGTAGTTAAAGTTGTGAATCAAAAGCTTGTTTATTCTATGAGTGTGGAATTCCAGAAAGAATGATATGCAGTTGGATGAAAGAAGAAAAACAACACACCATCAAGTGTGATTAATTTAATTACATAAAAAACTACATGTTTTGGTCCTTAAGAGAACATCATCAGAATGTGCCCAACGCATGAGTAAGTGCTTTACATTTACAAAGGCTGCTCACCAGTTCTCCCCCCCCCCCACCCAGAGTTAACTAGTTACATTTACAATTCTAGTAAAAACTGAAGTTACTCAGTGTGTCAGTCATATGGTAGACCAGAATGCCTGCTATTAAAAGAAAAATTATGTTCATTTATAGATTCTGTAGAAAGTGAAGTCTTGTCTTCTCAGTTTGCTATGTCTTCACTAGTCATTGCCAGGTGATGGATTCCAACAATATGCTCTCCTTCCATACTCACGTTCTTACCGGCTGGCGACTATCTCACAACTAACTCATTACTCGAACTGTCCTGCTACATTTCAGCATGGACTGCACAGAAAACACTGTAGCTCTGTTGCTGTTTCCAATTATTGCCATGTGAACATGCTTGTTTGCAAAACAGTTACTCAGTAATGGCTATTGTATTCTTGCTTATCTTGCATGTCATAATATGTTATCTCCTTCCATATTAGAAAGCATCATTTTTATGTATTTCTGTACCTCTGCTGCTGCTTTCAGGAACAAGGATTTGTACTGGCAAAAGATTATGCAGTTCCACCAGACACGTGCATTGCTTGGAGATGACCATCCAAGCCACAAGCAGCTTCTTTATTGTATCACAACATTTTTTTTGCATTGTCTGCATGAATATGTATCAACATTGGATTCAGGTTTGTTGTTAATAACATTCATAGTGGTATTTCTGCTTAGAAAGTCATCACAGGAATGCAAGTCAAGTAAACAGTTGCAATCCCGCAGGTAAAAGTCATGTCTGTAAGATAAAGGATGTCGTGTTGTCATAATGAAGAATATTAAGTAAGGCTTCCATCTTCTGGAATGTGAAGTCATGTAATATGATATATAGGTACCAATGTTTCAGAGGAACATGCTGCCTCCTTATTTTCTGACGAGGAAGACAGGTCCAGTATGTTCCTCTGAAACAGACTATATGCTGTTACATCCCAGTGGACCATAATCTTAATATTATTATGTTTATAATTATTTTGGAACAATTATTTTATTACTATTAGTAACCACTTATGTTCTTGCTGTCACCTTGTTTTTATTCCCTACTGTTTCCCCATAGGGCCAGTATAGCGCAGTAGGTATAGTGTCTGGCTACTGGCTGGGTGATTGAGTGGTCAGAGTTTGAGTCCCAGTAGGGTCAAGAATTTTCACTTATCCATGTCATCCAGACCAGCTCTGGCATCCACCCAACCTCCTATCCAGTGGGTGCCAGGGGTAATGTGGCCAGGGCGTGAAGCTGACCACTCATCTCCAACTTGTACCAAGGTCAAGAAAACATGGGTCTATACATCCATTCCCTCATATACCTTCATTGCATAGTGCTTAATTAGTTAAGTACAGGGACAACTTTACCTTTTACCTTTACTGTTTCAACATATGCCACTGCATTGCCCTCTTCCTATGTCTTGAACTGAACTAGCTTACAACTCACAGCACTTGTGTGAGATCAAACTGTATACATGAATGCACTGTGCCACTTAGTATAAGCTCACAGTGAGATTAAGATTGCCTTCTCCTTGCCTTACAACTCTGGTTTTGTGTAGGTCATAACTTTGTGAATGTTCAGGTCATGATGTGAGTGGGGTTATTCTCCATGTTTCTGGAAAGAACAAGAACAAGAACAAGAATGAGACTGGATGATGGAAATCCTCAAGGTTTTGAGAGAGAGACATGTACTGGCCAAGCTCTACTATGCCCTCCCTGCACCTTGTTCAGTCCTGCAACACTGTTTTCTCCTAAAGATTATCCTTGCCTTACAACTCTAGTTTTGTGTAGGTCATAACTTTGAGAATGTTCAGGTCATGATGTGAGTGGGGTTATTCTCCATGTTTCTGGAAAGAACAAGAACAAGAATGAGACCGGATGATGGGAATCCTCAAGGTTTTGAGAGAGAGACATGTACTGGCCAAGCTCTGCTGTGCCCTCCCTGCGCGTTGTTCAGTCCTGCGACACTGTTTTCTCCTAAAGATTGCTTGTCCCAAGTAGTGCCTAGATATGGCACCAGTCTGTTCTGTTGTTCCACCATTATATTTGTTCTTGGATGATGCTGGATCCTGTATATTACATTTCTGATCTAGGTGATCACCCTGTAAGGGCTTTCCCAGGAAAGCTGCTGGTTAATAAACTTCTGTTTGGTCCATGTTGAATGGTCCAACCATTCTTGGTTTCCTTCCACGAATCCCAAGGGAATGGGTAGTTGGTAATAGCAAGCCTTCATCCTGCCACTGGCAATCCTCTCTGCCCTACCATTATGCTGATGCAAATCTGATCTGGCAAATGTGTCATGCCTTGACACTGATGGGGGAATGTAACCAAGCCAATGTCAAATTCCAGATACTGTTGGTTGGAACAGAAGCAAGGACTTTGGATATACAGAATCCTATTTGATACATCTTATGTCATAATGGAATGGGTTGTAGAACCACAGCCACTAACTGCTGTATAATAGATCCAGAAATACAGAAATTGACATCTGTTTGAGTACAGTAATAATAGTGGCAGTGTGTAGTCACTTCTTTGTAACTATATCGATGTTCTGTTCATATGTGAGTTTGAGTTATGACACAATTTCCACATCTGTATTCCCAGAAATCATTGAATCCCTTTTGATTTTAAACATCTTTTATCATTAGCAAATATAGGATGTTTCCAATTTATTTTAGGGACATAAAACTGGAAAGACTTCATCTTTATAATTAAATAAATATGATAGTTTAGATCTAAAAGTTTGTTATTATGGTACATTAATACAGATATGTTTCTGGACATTATCCATCGTCCTGTCTTTATCTAAAAACACTGTCCTGTTTACTTTTCAAAACACAACGTTTTGGAGAGTCCCTATCTTTGGACCGGAGATCGATTGGGTCCAACTGAGTAGGTTCTACCTGAAGACAGAGACAGAATTTGGTCTCCAAAACGTTGTGTTTTGAAAAATAAACAGGACAGTGTTTTTAGATAAAGACAGGACAATGGATAATGTCCATAAACATAATTTGTATTAAAGATAGTTTGTAATTTGTACAGTTGAAAGGATTGAGAACAAATTAAGCGTCTTAATTCTTTCTGAAACGTTTTGTTGCTTGTGTTTAGGTGGTGGTGAGGTGCCTCTGGTCTTAGTTGAAGCATTCTGTGGAGAGTCTGATGCAGTGGGTGGATCAGTGTCTGCAGGCACTTCTGGTGAACCGAAGCTTAAACGCAGAAAGACAGAAATGGCTGATGATTCCTCATCATTAACACCATTACTTACTGTGGCAAGGCCTGGAAATATGGTAGTTGTTCACAATTTCCTTATGGCTGTACGATGTTGGGACCTGCTTCACAGTTCTGATAGCTTAGAAAGAGGTAATTAGTAGCAAAGGGAAAATCATATTTTAATATCCTACATCTTTATGTGAGTGATCATGAATGACTGTTTGCATACTGTGACATATTGCAAATGAACAAGAGTAACTCCTGGAAATATATTTTAGAATAATAAGTTCATTGTAGAACATCTTTTGAAAATGTATAGCATATTTTTTGTAATACGAACTTGTCATTACTTAATAGTTTAATATTTTATTTTTTCAGACTTTACAAAGTTGAGCCAGCACTTGAAACTTGATAGTTGGTTGAATGGATTCTTAATTGATGCCACCCTGTACAAAGGAAGGTTTGATGAGGCATTAAATAAAATAGGGAATCTTGCTGCACTAGATACAGGAGTCAATGCAGCCCTGCGCAAGTATCTCCGACTGGCCAGCACATTATATTGTCAAGGTCTCTTTGCTGTGAGTTCTGCATATTTTGTAATTCTTTGTATTAGTACATGCCATTGTATAACTAACTAACTAATTTCATGGAGCATAGACCTTGAGAAGCTGCCAATTGTTCAGCTACTCAAGGACTTTCCAGCATTTTATGGTACTTGAAGGTTCATTACTGTGTTCACAAGAGCTCTCCACTGTTCCCTATCCTGAGCCAGATCAGTCCAGTCTATGTAGTCATTTCCATTGACAGTATCTCTGTACTATGTTTCTTTTAATTTCAAAGATGATCTTGAACATCTGGACTGAGTGAAAATTATATTTTTCCACAAATTTTTCAAACCAAAATGAGCCAAAAAGAGAGTGCAAAAAATGTATAAAAATTATACAGATAATATTCTTTTGGGATTGCTGTATATGAGATTTTGTATTCATTCAGAGATCACTGGAGCATATCCTTCAAGTAGTTACATCATTGCCTTCATCCAGTATTCTGACATCATCTGCACATCACTTGACAAACGTATTGCTCCAGCCAAGTCAGTCGAACAGACATCTTCATTTTCTGCCCCTGACAAGACCACAAGTCTTACAGTATTGTGTCAGACTCCTGGTTGCAGCACTCAAAGTAAGTGAGAAATCATTGTATGTGGGAGTTTTGGAAATTAATTGGTTCTGTTAATACAGTGAAACCCCCATTTAAGATTTGTTTTGAAAACAGTGGATCTGAATGCCAAAATGAGGAATATCTTAATTGAAAGAAATTTAACATTAGGATTTTGAAAGATTCAATTTATGTATTTAAAAATACTCAAGAGCACAATAAGGATCTGTACTGAAGAATTAGATGCAATTCAATAAATGAGACTGGTATCATTGTATGCCTGATTATGACCCGGTATAAGGGTTGAAACATGTAGTGTCAATAAAAACAAATGTTTATAAGACAGTGTCTACTATGTTTTAAATACAGAATATTGTTGTGTAGACTGCATACTTTTGTATACATTTTATGTACCTTGTTTGTAACACAACAGGATGCATACTATTAAGATTATTAAGATTAGGATTTTTAATTTGAGATCATTGAAATTGAACGTCAGATGAAGGAAAATCTCAAATTGAGAACACTAAATAGGTATTCTGCTGTATTAGGAGCACCAGATATGGCATTCCTCCAAATAAATTATATAAGATTTTAGTAATAGTACATTGAGTTGTGCATATGCATAAATTAAATTGCTGCATACTGTGCTATAACAAATCTCTGAACATCTCTGTTATGGTAATTGTTTTAGGTCTTATGTGTACCATGCAGGTATTTTAGTGCCAGTATTTGTGTGAATTATGTGGATTTCAGATATCTGCAATATTCTGTTTGCCTGTTACAAGTTGTGTTCATTAATGTTAGACATGGTCAGTGAACTTGGTAAACTAGCTTCCAGGTTATGTCTGAAATCTAGTGAAGGTTTAACAGAAGTGCTTATCTTATAAAGTTTGTGGTAAGGAAACAAGGATCACTGTGAAGCTAAGGGTAGGTAAATGTGCCACAACCCTTGGATGGCTTTGTGACATCAATACAGAGTTAAGCAAGTGGGCTTATAAGTTATGTTCGTGTTCAAAAGTATGTTTCGTTTTCTTTTCTTTTTTTCAAAAAGACTAACCACTGAAGGCGAACTATTTCCATCACCATATTTTCTATTGATTTAAATCAATATATGCTTAATTTTAAGGGTTATTAGTGTAAAATACTTGACTGTATTTTTTCTTTCTTGAAGTAGCGGTAACAGTTATGACTGTTAGGTTATTCTTGTCATATCAAATACACTGAAAGAATCTGTTGTTATACTTGATGTTATCAAGTGTCCCAGATGATTTCAGCAACACAGAATTTTTTATACCTTCGCTTCTTTTCCATCATATCACTTGCTCTTAAAATGATATTCATGACCTCAAAATTTGTTCTGTACCATACATCACATGAAAAATACCTACGGTTCATAGTATGATATATAGCATTCATTTACTGTTCTTTGATGTCTTCCTTTTCTTTTAGCACCAGTGCTTGCCAAAGTTGCGACCAGACAATGATTTGGCAATTGGACACATCATTACACTCCTACAGTTTGACTGGCCCCTGGAAGAAGAGTTAATGACTCACTTGATGGAACGAATCCGTCAAGTGGGAAGCTTTTCATACAGCCTTTTTCAAAATTATATAGTGAATGTGGATGTCTTAGAAGAATTCATGTATCTTTCAACAGAGCAAGGTGGATGCATCACTTTAGATATTATGCCTTCAGCCCAACTCACAAGGTAATTCAAGAAAATTTGATATACCCAAGAAAAAAAATTCAAGAAACATAAACATGCTGAATAAATTTGATGAACATATGTAACAGATTTTGGACATAAAAATTAGAATATACAAAACTATAATTTTGCCTGTGGTCCTGTATGGGTGTGAAACTTGGTCTCTGACATTAAGGGAGGAACATAGACTGAGGGTGTTTGAGACAGGGTATTGAGGAGAATGTTTGGACCGAAGAGAGATGAAGTGACAGGAGGTTGGAGAAAACTGCATAATGAGGAGCTTCATAACTTGTACTCTTCTCCAAGTATAATTAGAATGATCAAGTCAAGGAGGATAAGGTGGGCAGGTCATGTAGCATGAATGGGGGAGATGAGGAATGCATATAGGATATTGGTGGGAAAGCCAGAAGGAAAGAGACCACAGGGAAGACCAAGGTGTAGGTGGGTGGACTATATTAGAATGGATCTTAGAGAGATAGGATGGGATGGTAGGGATTGGATAGATCTGGCTCAGGATAGGGACCAGTGGAGGGCTCTTGTGAACACGGTAATGAACCTTTGGGTTCCATAAAATGCTGGGAAATACTTGAGTAGCTGCAGAATTGACGGCTCCTCCAGAAGGGCTCAGTTCCATGAGTAAGTAAGTAAGTAAGTAAGTACACTTGTATAAATACTGCATTATATTGAACTGATACTTTTTAACATATTCTCACTCACTTTCAGTGGAAAATCTTAACTCCACTGTATAATTCTTGGCACTTCTTTGTGCTGTCAATGACATATTATGCTTATTGTATATTTCATTTGTATGCAGTCTCTCTCTTTCTGCAACTGGGTTGCTCAGTGCACCTGCGGTATATCATTTGCTCTGCAGCCAATGAATTTCAGTGTCTCTCAGATAACACATTATTCAAGGATTAGCAGTTCTTATATCTTGACTGTTTCTACTCCAGTATCACACACCTCCTATTACCTGAGTGTATATACATACTTTGCTGTCTAATATTGATGTCATCAGCCTGAAAAATGTGTTGTTGTTTTTTTTTTTTGTTTTTTTTTGCTGCTGCTGCTGCTTTGTTCAATTCACTTTCTTACATCTGGCCAGTTCTTAGTTGTGAACATAGACTGAGATTGATTTTGGATATAGTTTGTCATTGTGGATTATGCATGTGCATTATAGCCTTTGAATGGCCAAATCACCCGACTCTCTTACTGTTGGCATGTTGTATTGTATTGTATTGTATTGGAGAGGGTGGGTTTCCCCATGCACTTAGACCAACTGTTGTGAGCGGCCTCCGTAGTCTAGGGGTAACGTTCCCACCTCATGACTCAAGGTATGCGGCTTCAAACCCGGCAGAGGTCATGGAATTTTTAAGGGCAGAAAAATTCAGGGAACAAGTCCACCGGGAGGGACTTTAAGCCGTGGGTCCCGTGTCGTANTCTACCAGAGGCGTTAGAGACTACTGTTGGGCGGGAAATGTCCTGAATTTGGCTCAGTGGTCCCCTTGAGACATGAGGTTCTTTTACGTGCCATAAAGCTACAACACGGGACCCACGGCTTAAAGTCCCTCCCGGAGGACTTGTTCCCTGAATTTTTCCGCCCTTAAAAATTCCACGACCTCCGCCGGGTTTGAACCCATGTACCTTGAGTCACAAGGCGGGAACGTTACCCCTAGACTACAGAGGCCTCCCTGTTGGCATGTTAGATGGAACTTTAATCATCTGCCAAGAAAAATGCACTGTCGTGCATTTCTTAAAGTAAATAAGTTGTTTAAAATAAGTCGGCATCACAATAGGCACTCAAAGTGTCTCCCTTCTGCCATTTAAGAAAATTTAGGTCTCACGGAAAGATTGTTTGTGACTAGTAGTTGATTGACCTCAGTAGATTAGATGCCATTGTTTCACACATGTAGTGCTTAACATATTGAGGACCGGTTGCATGATATCATGCTTTTGGCTTTTAAATGTGGTGGACCAGTCGCATGATATGATTTTAGGACATGTTAGGTTGTAACACACTATACCTTGCTCTGGCGCCACCCACGTTGCATGCAGTGGCATAATAAAACTCTGGAATGTTTGCTTACTTGTCAGTAACTTGACCTCGCTGTTTTCTTAACGCACTATAAACAAGAATGCTTTTCTGCTCTTCGAGCCGTATGTACCAGCCAGTAGTTAGTGGTGGGGTATGGACAAGGACAAATTCTTCTCCGATGAACTAGCTGACCTGGCTTGTGAGACTCATAGTAATGGTGATTCAGAGAGCAGCAGTGACAGGGAGAACAAAGAATTGTGGACAAAGACAGTAAAAGTGACAGTAGCTCCGATGATAATGGGGGTAATAACATTGTGGGGACAGTAAAAATCTAAAAAAATCACAAAAATTTAAAATCAAAATTGAAATACAAAGCATTTCTGATTAATGTGGCAAAGGCCTGGGCTACAGACCAGATGGTGGCGGCAGACCCAGAGTCAGACACAGACTTAGTGTGATCAGGCCCATCAACTCCCACCCCACGCAGGTCTCATGTGGACCCCCCTGGGCGACTCTCGGGTAATATGCGGAAACATACCCTTGTGAAAATTGTGAAGAGTGAACATTCCAAGGGAAGAATCCTTCTAGGCAGTGCCATGTTTGCACAGTTCAAAGTGAACAGTGCACAAGTTAGGATAGTAGGTTTAATAATGGTGGCTCCAGGGCGATGCAATGTGTTAAGTTCATCTGGTGTGTGGGAATTAGTCGAATACACTTTCTTTTTTAGGTTTCTGCACAGATAAAAGTCACAGGGATTCAAGTCTGGAGATCTTGCAGGCCACAGTCTGTGTCTTCATCAGTTTGTCTTCAAACATCTCATATACAATTGCTGACTTTTTGTACATTATCCACTATTCTGGTTTTTAATTTAAAAACAACTTTCTAGAGTCTGAACTCTATCTCTGTTCATAGGTAAAAGCCTACTCACTTTGGCCCAATTAATAAGAGCTAGTTCCCATCTCTGGATCCAGAAGTAAGCTTTTACCTGAGGACAAGGACAGAGTCCAACGTCCTAAATGTTATAACTTATAGTCTTGTTTTCTGTCTTAATTCAACAATATTAATTTAACAGTATTAATTCATATTTGCTAAATGTTGGAAAATGTCATTAAAATTACTAAAATATTTCAGCTGCACAGGGCCATCTTCATGCAACATATTTTTTAAAGGAGTCTACTGCACTCTGCATTTGGTCAAATAGTATTGTCACGTATCGGGCGTATATCGCGACAAATAACTTCACGCCGTATTTTATATAGCGAATTTTATTTCACATTCGCACTTACAATCACCCAAATTACAGATTTACGATTACTGCTATCTGCAGTATCACAAATAGTACACTCCAAATGCCAGAATACAACTGACTAGTTGCTGGCTAACTCGGAGGTAGCTCGAGGACTGACTCATAGGTAGCTCCAGGACTAACTGTTAATAGCCTTCGCTGCTCCTCATGTAGCATACAGAAAACGGCCACGTAATAAGCACCCTTGTTGCCTGGCGCTGTGTTGCTAGTAACGCTAGCGGTAGTAACCGCTGTTACCACCGTCGTCTCTCGCAACCCTGTTGCGTCACCGTTACGTTACCATGCGGAGGAGGGGGAGGGGAGCGCTGACTCCCCCGCCACGTCACTGCTGGTGGGGGGGGGTTCTCCTTTGCGCAACATGTCACAGTATTCATTGAGGCATGTTATTGTTGTTATTAATTTTTTTTAATTCGGATGTTGTAAAATGATTTTCTTCCTATCTTATATTTTTCAGCTGATTTTGTGTCCCATTGGTTGTTCCGCTTTCTTAATTGTATCTATTGTTGCTTGTGTTCCTAAGTGTTGTTTTTAAATAAAGAAGAGGGTGATAAATAATGTCCAAAAAGTCAATAATTGTATCAATGTACCATCACATACTTCTAGATCTTCAAACATCACATTTAAAAGGTTAATTTAATAATTATCAGTGTATGCTGGAGCACAGTCTTGCACAAAATAATCATGTTTTCTTCTTTCCCAGTGCTTTCAAAAGGCATGGAGAATGTTGCTGACATACTGCTCTGAATTAGTAGCCTTGTTAAAAGAATTAGGTTGTATTGTTCATGGGCCAGTAGTGGCACACCACAAACCAGTCTTCTGATGCTGAAGGGGGTAATTGAAGAGTTTGTCTTGGATTAACACTGCTCCAATTTCTATTGTTTTGAGCACTGATGTACCCACTCAGATGGAACCAAACTTTATGAATAAAAAATGGAAGTGTTCACCATCATAATTCAGTACTATAAATGAGATCATGAAACAGAACTTCAAATGACATGAGAAAAGAAACACACAGACAATTGATACATATTAATGAGTCACTTGTAGGTGGAGTGATAGCAGTACGAGATAAACAATAACAGACACACTGCATAGTAACACAGGTGACAGTCTCTCTCCTTGTCTGTCTGTTACATAAAGCATGTTCATATACCACTAGCATGTTTCTCTCATGGGAAGGTAACTTGATTCATCCAGTCAAGGAAGCCTGTATAGAATTCTAATCCTGAGACAGGTTATGTTGGGTTAAGGTCATAATGTCCTTAATAATATTGTCATGTGTAGGGTGATATACATGATGAAATGACGGGTTCTAGTTCTGATGATTGAATTTATTAGCACTTCGGTTACAAACTGTTTCTTAGTTACACTTAAATACAGGCAATACATCACTACCGCTAATTTACACACTTACCAGTTCACCGTTGCACATGCACAAGGATTCTGTTTCCACTAGTCGTCTCGTAGCAACAGATCTCAACAGAGAAATTATCACCTCAAATGACTGTGAAGGCTCTTGTCTTCAGTCACTCTGTACTCTGTCCTAATCTGTACTTGATCTTCACAATTCACACTCCATTCTCATCCTTGTGCTCTCATCTCTTGAACCCTCCTGGGCTCTCCACATTCATCTTCTGTCTGTTTTCACTAGTCTTCACTATTTCCAGTTCACTCACTTGCATACTTCTGCCGCCACTTTTTCTCTCTGTGATGAACTCAGAACACTCCCTTACTCATACAGGATGTCCCAGGGGGAACGTGCCACACTTTTGGAGGGTGTTTCTTATGTTAAAGTATGCCTATATAACCCAAAACACCTATGTCCAAAGTTGAATGGTTATGGAGATAATGGCCAGAGAAGCGTGAAACTTTGACAGGTGTTACACACTTGTTGATTGCCAAATACATATTAACACTTCGCGGACCGGACGCCTAGGCCTAGGCATTTGGGTTTTAAACGTGGCAGACCGGTCGCCTAGATTTAGGCTTTTAGGACACGTTATGTTGCAACACACTATTCCTCGCTAAGTCCCTTTACTCAAGTCGAAGCTTCTATGTGTGAGGCAAGATATTCTGTGTCAACATGGCTCAGAGATGAAAGCAGTTGAAGGCCGCGTGAGCTCTCGGAGAAGAAGAAATCTGTGATTTGATCTCCGATGAGTTATCTGACGTGTTAACTGCTTCGTCTTCTGGTACCGAGGGCAGTGTCAGTGGCAGTGACAGGGGCCCCCAAAATATTGTGACCAGAAGAGAAAGTGAAAGTGACAGTGAGAGCTCCGATGAAAGTGCGAGTGCTAGCATTGCGGGGACAGCCACATGGGGTAAAGTGGACAAAACACCCACTTTGGGAAAGTTTACTGGTGATCCAGGGGTGAGACAAATGCCATCGGACCCTACGCAAGTGTCTGAAGTAGCTGAACTGTTTTTTGGAGATAGTTTCTTTGACATGTTGTGTCAGGAGACCAACAGATACTATCTCCAACACTGTGAGGCGTATGACAGTACCTATAAGGTGTTGAAGTGGGTGGATGTCACTTCAGCAGAAATGAGAAAATTTTTTGGCAATAGTCATTCTAATGGGATTTACAAAGAGGGATAATTTGAAAGACTGACTATTGGTCCACTGATCCATTTTTAGAAATTCCCATTTTCGGCAAACTCATGAGTCATAAGAGATTTGAACAGATATGGTGGTGTTTGCATTTCAATAATAATGAACTACAACCACAATCAACAGGCAGGCTTTTCAAAATTCAGCCCTTATTAGACTTTTTCGTTGAGAAATTTCAGACAGTTTATAAGCCAGAGCAGCAACTGTCTTTGGATGAATCTGTGATTCCTTGGAGGGGAAGGCTTCGTTTTCGAACGTATAATCCTGGGAAACTCACAAAGTATGGCCTACTTGTTCGTGTAGTCACGGAAAGCACTTCAGGCTATATTGGAAATTTAGAAATTTATTCTGGTGAAGGCAAGAAATTGCAAGAAACTATTGTTTCCATTTTGGATCCCTATCTGTATCAAAATTATCACGTTTATCAAGATAATTTTTATAACAGTGTGGCAACTGCAGAATACCTACTTTCAAGGAAAGTACGTATTTGTGGTACAATTAGGGTGAACAGAGGCCTTCCTCCAGATCTGAAAGAGGAATGTAAATCCCTGAAACGTGGTGACACCACATTCAGGAGGAAGGGGGACATTCTTCTTCAGTCCTGGAGGGATACTCGTGTTGTGAATATGATTTCCACTATTCACAATTGGAGCATGGTCGATGTTCAAAGACGACACGGGCAAGTGAAGAAGAAGCCTCTTTGTATTTCTCAGTACAGTATGTTCATGAAGGGAGTTGATAGAACCGAGCAATACTTGGCCTATTATTCCCTTCCTAGGAAAACAGTAAAATGGACGAAGAAAGTTGCCTTGTGGCTTATAAATTGTGCCCTTTTCAATTCATTTTTGGTTTTCAAAGAGCTAAACGAAAATTCAACTTTGAAATACAAGGCATTTCTCACGGTGGCGGCAGAACCTGCGTCAGACACAGACGTAGTATGACTGGGACCATCTACTCCCACCCCATGGAGGCCTCATATGGACCCCCCTGGGCGACTCTTGGGTGATATGCGGAAACATACCCTCATTAAAATTGTGATGAGCGAACAATCGACAGGGAAGTATCCTTCTAGGCAGTGCGGTGTGTGCGCTGTACACAAGAAGTGAAGCAAGGCTTCCTACGTCTGCAAGTTCTGTGTCATGCCTCTTCAGAGAGGGGAATGTTTCCAGAAATATCACACTCTGAAGCACTTCTAGGAGCTCTGGTAAGTCTTCTCCAAAAATTTTAATTAGGAGATTTTATATTAATTTTTAAAGTGAACAGTGCACAAGTTAGGGTAGTAGGTTTAAAAAGCCGGTCCCCAGGGTGATTTAAATATTTAAATCACTGGTTCGCGACGTGTTAAAATTGGCAGGAATACCGTATGTCCAAAAAGTATCAGACTTTATTTTTTTCCGCTGTAAGTAATGGCCTAAAGGGTGGGGAAACTGAGCGTAGTGGTAGAAGGGACTTTCATGCGCATGTGTGATTTTTTGCTGACTCGCAACACCGCCGGATAAGCCTGTGGCTGCCAGATAGCGAAGTGGTGTAACACGTGTTCGTTGCATTCTCATTTCGCTCAAGATGACAGAACGCTTGGAGCAGCGATACTGCATTAAGTTTTGTCAGAAACTTGGGGATACCCAAGCAGAAACAATTTGAAAAATTCAGCAGGCTTTTGGCGATGATGCAGTGGGGGTCACTCAAATTAAAGAGTGGTTCAACCGCTGTAAACATGGCCGTATGTCGGCGGACAGTGAGCAGCGTTCCGGGAGACCATCAACGAGCTGAAATGCAGATGTCATTGAAAAAGTGCGGACACTGATCATGGAGGACCGTCGTTTGGCCATCCGTGAAGTTGCTGATGAGGTTGGGATCAGCAGAGGTTCCACAAACAATTTTAACTGAGGATTTGGGCATGCGAATAGTGGCAGCAAAATTTGTGCCCAAGCTGCTTTTGCTGGAGCAGCAACAACTCCGCCTTTAGGTCGCGCAGGACATGCTGGAGTGTGCCAACAGGGATCCTGGGTTCCTGAAGACTCTGATCACTGGTGACAAGTCGTGGGTGTATGGATATGACCTGGAAACCAAGGTCCAGGCGTCACAATGGAAGCATCCAACATCCCCGAGGCCCGAAAGAGCACGACAGGTTCAGAGCCATGTGAAGGTGATGCCGTTTCCTTTTTTATTACCGGGGTGTTGTGCATCATGAGTACGCACCACTAGGCCAGACTGTTAATAAGGAGTACTACCAAGAAGTCCTCCGCCATCTTCGTGATGCAGTTCGGCGCAAGAGACTGGAGCTGTGGGATGCATGCAACTGGCAGCTGCATCATGACAACGCCCCTGAAGGTAGCACATAAGCTTATGGCTAGTGTGAATCACCACACTCAAGGACAAACATAGATAAGACTTGTCAGCTGACAGGTACAGTGCATGGACCAGCCAGAAGACCACACTTTTCTCGGGCCATTATCTCTGTAACCATTCAACATACATGTTTTGGGTTATATCGGCATACTTTAACATAAGGAACACCCTCCCGAAGTCAGGCACATTCCTCCTGGGACATCCTATATAGCCGAGGGACTGACATCAACCTACAGTAAACACATATCATATACCCCTACCCACTATGCCAAGTGCCTGACATACGGAAAACACAGCTTGCTCAACTGTTGCAGGCACATATCATGTTTACAAAGCTGTTGCCTGGCAACCCGTTGATCATATATGCCATAATATTATATTTGGAATAATCTGCAGAATTTCCTTCTACACAATGAAGTATCTCCCTTATATTTGTGTTACACTCTTGTAAATGTAGAAATCGTTATGTACACCATGGTATGCTTATGTTGTAATGCAGAACTTACCGTCTTTTACATGGGAAGGGTGTAAAGATAATAACATTATGTATACATGTTTGCATACATCATAGTGATGACTCCCATGTATTCTTTCTTCATGCAAAATTTCCTCTGTCTAATTTTATGTTCAAGATTACATGGAGCTTTACCTCCCATTTTCCAATGCACCTTCTTGGCACAGTGTTTAGGCACAAGGACTTATTTACCTTTACCTGATGGCTGTAATACTGATGCCATAGCTGAATGAGAGGATGACAAACCTACACACTTTGCTTATGGGATTTGAAGAAGTCTGGGTTTCATCCAAAAAAAAATTATGTCCAGTTACTTACAGTTATTGATAACACATTTTCCCGATTATTAGGCAGAAATTATAACCTAATAGAATTAATATTTTTACAGCCAACGCAGAATTTCAACACGTGGCGCAGACAAGGGAGTGAAGGAAGACTTCAAATTGGCCATGAAGAGACAAGTAGCTAGAAGCCTAGAACCTCTTGACAATCTAATCATCAAGTTTTTAACTTCAGAAAGAGATCTTTTGTTACAGTCTCTTCAATAAAATATTACTTCAGTGTTATATTGGAATTTTGTTTAATTAGTGCTTATTTAATTGACTGCCATAATTACAATTCTCAGTGTTCCTCCTTCTCCCTCTCATCATCATCCCCAGTTTTAGGTGTTTCCAAACTTTTTTTCCTTTTAGTTGATATTCTGAGATCTTTTTAGGAATCCTGTAAACCTGTTTTTCCATGTCTTGTTCCATAAATTCTGCTGTTTGTGGAATTTATAATTCTCTTCATAATTTCTTAATGTCTTTTGTGGCCTGAAAGGATGTGTCCTGAGTTTTTATAGAATGCAATTCCATTGACAGCAGTTCTGTCTTTACTTCTGTACTCCATGATTCAGTACCATAAGGTAAGGTTGATATAGTATGTGTCTTGTAAATTTATATTTTTGTATTGTTTTGTGTTTCACATGTTTGTTGCTGCAGAAACATGTTTTCCCATGCTGTTGCTAGGCAACGGCAGATTTAGCCTCTTTTTTCTTCTTCTTCTTCTGTTCTCTAAACTTTCCCTTTTGTTGCTTTGGATGTTTTTTTCAAGTGTTTCAATGACAGTTTTATTTTGGTGTGTCTAATTGATGGCTTGTAATGTCTGCTTCTAAAGCTAATGATTTGATTCAGTTTTTGTTACATACGTTGTTGTTGCATTCCTAATGTATGAATTGTGTGGTTTATTACTGTTCGTGGGGGGTCATGTGTATTTTCTTTTTGTGTTAGCTCATGTTGATTGCCACGTGCCTGTGTTCTATATACATGTATGGTAGAGTTCATTGTTTATGTTTTCTTCTGAAATGGAACTTTTAGTTCTTTCTTTACATGTAATACTTGGGTGTGTTTTTAAGCTACTATGGTATTGCTTCTTCATATTCTAATGGATGCAAATTTTTGGTTTGTTTAATTTGTAACAAATATGGTTAAAACTGGTGTGCAAAACACAGTTAGGATGGAACCAAGAAATCAGTCATCCTCCAGTACACTGGAAAAGAAGTGAGGAAATTTACAGACTTATTCAAAGTCTGACCTAATAATGAGCCTTACGCACCCAACCCACTAACTCCAAATTATGGGACGAAAAAAGATGCAAACAACTGTCGTCCACTTACTCTTGTTCAAACTCTTTCAGAGATCTTTGAAAAAGTAAGAGCAAATCAACTAATTTCTTTTTTAGACAAACACGACATTCTTAATAAATTTCAGTTTGGATTTAGGAAAACAAAATTGACAGAAGATGCTATTGCCACAATTATGAAAGATATAATTGAAAATCTGAAAAATAAAATGTAATCATGTACTATTAGACTTACCAAAAGCATTTGATTGTATTGAACACAGCACTCTTGTGGATAAATTATACCAATACGGAGTTCATGGTATATCACAGAAGCTATCAAATCCTTTCTTACAAGCAGAACACAACACGCGAAAGTTACACAAATACCAATCTACTGAAAGAATATTTGTCAAGTAGCCTTGGAGTTAGATACGGAGTTCAAGGTTCTGGGTCCATTACTTTTCAACTTATATATAAATGATATACTGCATATATAACAAGGCAAAACAATAATGTAGGTCATGATACATCAATAATATAGGGCAAGATGTAATTAAACCCCATAGATCAACCTCAGAAGATACAAGATTAGTAGAGCACGAATTTAAAATAAGTAATTTACCTATAAATCCAACCAAAACACTTTACATTCTCTTCCAGACCAAGCAATGCAGGCAGGAAAGTGTTTATGTACCCTAATAAAGAATGGGGAAATAGTTTCAGATATTCATAACATTTATACCAGATAAAGATTCAAATTACATTATCCAATTTATAAATCAACCAGGGCTCAAAAGGGAGTATCTTACACTGGGATTAGAATATTTAATAAATTACCACAGAGTATATAAAATTTATTGCAAGATTTAAATAAATTCAAATATTCCCTTAAAAATTTTGCAGGTGAGCTCTTTTTGTTCTTTAGATGAGTATTATAAATGGAAAACAAGGGATGATTGTGTTAATTACAGATAAATAAAACATTAGTCATTTTTAAAAACTTTTATTGTATGATGCCTATAATTCTCTAGATGTGCTTTTTCTCTGTTATAGACGATGTTAATATGTATTTTATTATAAGTTGCAATGCAGGTGTTATATGCTTGTTTTATTTAATTTTAACATTGTCCTTTTGGGTTTGAATTGTAAGAAGAAAAGAAAGGGGGAATACTGATGTGATCTGTATTTCAGTGTGGCACCATGGTGCATAGTGTTGATGATGACAGTAATACTTGTATCAATAGATATTGCAACAATGGTTGTATATAAGTTGTAATATCTTTATGACGTTGTACTCTGGATTGATTTTATAGTAACTTGGGCTTTGACATGTTCTATAGCTGGACGCACCATTGCCAAATGTAGTTCTGATGAACAAAAATAAATTGAATTGACGTTAATGTCAAAAATACTGATTTCCTTGGGATTATACTTGACAGTAACCTCAGTTAGGAAATACAATACATATTGAAGAATCTGTAGTAGAATCAGCCACAACTTATTTATAATTAATAAGACTTTAAAATACTTGATATGAACATAAGAATGTTGTATTATGGTTTTATTTACCCCCTTATGGCATGTGGAATCGCATGGGGACAGAGTGGGAAGGCACTAACTCAACGAATATTTACGCTCCAGAAAAGGTCTCAAGATATATAGCAGGTTTAAAACAACAGGAATTGTAGAGATAGCTTTACGCAACTAAAGATATTAAGGGCTAGGGCACACCAAGGAAACTGGCAACCAATTTCTGAGAACTGTTATCAGCCTGAGTTGAACAAATGTTACTGAATGGAGCAGCACAAATTGAAGAAACTGCAATGCCATTTCCTCAATTTGCTCTGCTCCATTCAGTAACATGTGTTCAACTGATGATAATTCTCTGAAATTGTGGTTGCGTTTCCTTGCTGTGCCTTCACCTTAACAGTATACTTGTTATACAATCAAGAAACATTATATGCAAAAGAAAGGTGTAAGTGTACTTAAAAAACAGGAATATACAGATAATGCAAGAAATGACTATCATAGGTATGTATAATATTTAGACCTTTATAATAGTAATTCATCAGCAGCTGGTTGTATCTTCTATAACAAAACCAGTTTAAAAAGATAAAAAGTTTTTCTTATTACAGGATGCTATTTTACAGTGGGTCATGTCAATAATGAATTCTGTAATACTGACTACTGATAAGCAGATGTATACATTAAGCTACATTCCTGATAAGTTTATACCACAATTCCATCAAATTCTCCATAAGCATTATCACCAGTACAGGTACAATAGGACATATGGAAGCCGAGGGGACCTAATATGGATTCGACCTTACACTATATGAAATCTTAACTATTCTAATCTATTGTAAACAATTTTAAGTATTTTAACTTTATTCTCTTATTGTAATCAGCCAATGTACAGTAACTGACTTGTCCTATATCATGTAACAATGATCTATAGAGACGAAATAAATAAATATAATCAACACGATAATAATATTGATGCCCATGTCCTACATCGACGCATTTTTCATTTCATTTCATTTCATTTATTTCGTGTCCATGGACCTACCGAATAAACTAAAAATGAACGAACGAATGACGCAACCAGTACAACTGATCCCAATTCTATCCGGCACTTCTAAAAGGGATTGCCATTTGTAGCATTCGCATATATTTTAAGTTTTTGACCCTATTTCTGAGAGTCCAATAATATTCGTAATTGTGTTATACGTTAATACGCTGATTTGCAAGCCAATTCCACTAATAAAATTTAAGATATTTTCTTTAATTTGGTCTACATAAACAGAATGATAGGAGCAGCACAAATATAATATTATTTACCGAACAAACTAAACCTCTGCCATATGGACCGTTGGACCGCCCTGGACCTCTTCTGCTCTTCTGTGACCTGGACCAGTAGAATTTGTCACAGGTTGGCAACCCGAAATGTGATTTAAATGGCAGCAGACCCTGTGACGGTGATATTTTATGCAGTAGCCTTTTAAAGATAATTGTGTGCATGGTGCGTGTCAGATTTATTTACATTTATTTTAGTGATTTCAGACGTTTCTAGATTCGTGGAAGTCAAAAGAAGAATATGAAATTTATGTAATAAGTGTTTATTGACAAAATGGCGGGTGTTTTTGGGTCTGGTGAAAGGAGGTTCACAATTGATGATGCATTTGAAGAAGAAAACGATGACGCTATTCGTGTTTATGGTTCTACAACAGAAAGATCTCCCTTAAAACCGAAAAATAGGAATGTAATATCGGAGGACAGTATAATAGTGCGTATAGAGGATCCCGTTAGGAGTGCCAGTACAGTCACAAGTACAGCCCCAAGATTTAAGACATCAGACGATGTGAGTTTTTCTTAAGTTGATTTCATGAACGCACAGGAGTACAGTGGGCTTAATTAACGTATGATCTTTTTTCTGAACCAGGCCACATCAAGAGATAGCGACTCCTTGATCCAGGATGGTGGATTTTATACAGGAATGTTTGATCCGACACAGTCATGTTGGACGCACCCCAAAATCAGGGAGAATTGGAAGATGGTCTTGGCAGCAGTTGTGTTATTAATTGTGGGGATTGGTATGCAGCCATTAATGATATGTGTTGTTACTTTTTAATGTAATGAATTGCATTTAGTGTACATAACATGTACATTCACCAGAAAGTATTTCGGCTTGAAGAGTGTTTTAGTTTGGCTGAAGTTTAAAGCCCTTGATTGAAATGTAACTTATGGGTTCAAGGAGTGAGATGAAAATGATATAAGACTTGTCTGGTTTGAATCTACCATCCTTTGCATGATTTTTCTATATGTATTAATATTTGTAACAGTGTATTTACACATGGGTGTTGTTTATTTTTAGGTCTTCTTGTTACTGGCGTTGTGGTAATCTGTTTGCCCATGCCAGGCATACAGGCATTTGTCTTCTTCATTGCGGGTTTCATCTGCTTCATTCCAGGAGCTTATCATGTGGTCTATATTTATTGGGCAGTGAAAGGCAAACGTGGTTATGATTTCTATCATCTCCCACTCTTCAACTGATTGTTTCTGTGCTTCTCAGACTATAAAGTGTCATCTTTCTTTAGCATTGGTTATTTATAGAGATTTGAAGTTTGTTCTGTGATAAGTTCCCATTTTATTGTAGGTTCACCATAGTTAATAGTGCTATTTGTGTTGGCCTAATTGATATTAAAATCAAACCTAATAATAGTTTATGGAAGAATCTGATAATCAAGAAGTTATCTAGAACGTCCACTTTTGTGTTATGAGGAAGGCAAAGCTCATTTTTTAACTATTCCAAATGCACAAGTTAAACGTCCGTTTCAAAGAGAGACTGAAGATCTTAATAGTGACTTATGCAGGAAGTGTAATATGTTAGTAATGATTGATATTATTAAAGGTCTGTAATATAATTTAATACAGTTTGTTGTAATTATAAATATTACATATTTGTATATAATTGTAAATAGTGCTTATGGCTATGTATTTATAGATATTTGTATACAGTTCCTGTTAAAGTGACATAATTTATTGTACAGTGTCTGAACTGTATGCTCAGTTCATATACTGTTATTGGGCCCAAAATTAAACAAATTTACCAATTTCACTATTATACAATGTTATTCTATGCGTGTTCCCCATCCACCCCACAGTGTGAGGACATAACGCTCCTGAGCAGTCTTTCTCCGATGTTGGTAAGGAAGTTAATTTTGAATGTCTTGTCAGGCATGAGGACAGGTTAACCAACGTCATGTAGTGGAACCTAGAAGGTGATTCGAAACTGGGTAGTTGGTTAGGGGAGAGGCCTAATTTAGAATCAGAGATGCCTATGTAAAAGGATGATTTTCCTCGAATAAAGTTATTGTAAATGCATCCTTAATGTCCATTAAGTTTTTAGTAACAGAATTCGTTACATGGCAGAACATTTTAAGTATATATCATATGCATAAATTACATTCGCACAATGTAAAATTCAGTTCCTTCTAATTGTATAGTACGGAGACGTAAATTAGAACATCTTTTTTGTTTAGGAATTGAAAAGTAAACGGTATTGTGTGCCGATGACTGCAAGTGATGTAAATTAGTTTTTTTTTTCTTTTTGTTTGGGATTGAAAAGCAAATGATATTGTGCCCCTGTTGGCAGTATTGTTGCTGCCAAGCGAGGCAGTATGTGTTTGTTTTGTAATCAATACGAGATGTTTTATATATAACAAGAAGTGAAAGTAATGAATTATTGTATTTTAAAAGTGTAATTAGTTGACGAATTTAGTATATTCGTTTTTAAAAGGTGTGATTTGATTGAATATAATTATATGCGGTTTCGAATTTGTTATGAACGACAAAATGGGGTTAGATTTCGACGTTTTGGAATTTTGTAGAAAACTTCGTAATTCTAAGCAGCCTCCTTACGAATGTCCAGTTGCACAATGTGGAAAAGTGTATAAGAGTCTTTGCGGTTTACAGTATCACTTGGTTAACTTTGATCATAATGCTCCTACACCTGTAAACCCTGTAGCAGCACCAGGTAAGTACTTTTGTTTCATATTTCGGCAGGCACCTGTTCCAGACCTAGACTGAATATTTCAGATTTTCCTTAGGTCCAGTAGACACGTCAGTTGATGAAATGTGACCACCATTTTCCCATTAAACCATTTGTAATTATTATTTTTATTTTGCATACATAACCCCTGTGTTTCTGAGCCGGGGTAGTGCAGTCGTTATAGTGACTGCCTACAAGCTGGACGACCGAGTGGACCCGGTAGAGTCAAAAATTTTTTGTCTCCATATCGTCCAGACCGGCTCTTGGGCCCACCCAGCTTCCTATCCAATGGGTACTGGGGGGTAAAGCAGCAGGGGCGTGCAGCTGACCACTCACTTCCAGTTGGTGCCAAGGTGAAGAAAATGTTGGTCTATACATCCACTCCCCCATACGCCTTCATGGAATAGTGCTTAATTAGCTTGCATACTTATGGAGCTGAGCCCTTCTTGAGGAGAACCTAATCTGCAGCTACTCAAGAACTTCCCAGCATTTTATGGAACCCGAAGGTTCATTACTGTGTTAATAAGAGCACTCCACTGGTCCCTATTCTTAGCTAGATCAATCCAATCAATACCATCCCATCCTATCTTTCTAAGATCCATTTTAATAGTGTCCACCCACCTATGGCTTGGTCTTCCCAGTGGCCTCTTTCTTTCTGTTTTTCCCACCAATATACTATATGCATTCCTCGTCTTCTCCCCATTTGTGCTACATGCTCTGCCCACCTCATCCTCCTTGACTTGATCATTCTAATTATACTTGGAAAAGAGTACAAGTTATGAAGCTCCTCATTATACAGTTTTCTCCAATCTCCTGTCACTTCATCCCTCTTCAGTCCAAATATTCTCCTCAACACCCTGTTCTCAAATACCCTCAGTCTGTGTTCCTCTTTAATGTCAGAGACCAAGTTTGACACCCATACAACAACGAGAAATTTACCTTTTTTAACTCCTGTGGTTAAGACAGCATGGTTAACACATTGCGGACTGGTGGTTTAAACATTTAAATCACCCTGGGGACCGGCGTTTTTAAACCTACTACCCTAACTTGTGCACTGTTCACTTTAAAAATTAATATAAAATCTCCTAATTAATTTTATGAACTGAAATTTTTGGACACAGCTTACCAGAGCTCCTAGAAGTGCTTGCATATGTGATATCTCTGGAAACATTCCCCTTTGTGAAGAGGCATTACACAGAAGTTGCACATGTAGGCAGTTCTACTCTTCTTCTTGTGCCCTGCGCACACACAGCACTGCCTAGAAGGGTGTTTCTTCTTGCAATATTCACTCTTCACAATTTTCACGAGAATATGTTTCCGCATATCACCCGAGAGTCGGCCAGGGGGGGTCTACTTGAGGCCTCTGGCGGGTGCGAACAGATGGCCCCGGCTGCACTACGTCTGTGTCTGACGCAGGTACTGCCGCCACCGTGACGTCAGTAGCCCAAGCTTTTGCCAGTTTCAACAGAAATGCTTTGTATTTCAAAGTAGAATTTCTGTTCACCTTTTTGAAAACCGTAAATGAATTGAAAATTGCACAGTTTATAAGCCACAGTGCAACTTTCTTCGTCCATTTTACTGTTTTCCTAGGAAGGGAATAATAGGCCAAGAACTGGTCGGCCCTATCAACTCCTTTCATGAACATATTATACTCGGAAATACAAGAGGCTTCTTTACTTGCCCATGTCGTCTTTGAACATCGACCTTGCTCGAATTGTGAATAGTGGAAACCATATTCACAACACGAGTATCCCTCCAGGACTGAAGAAGAATGTCCCCCTTCCGTCAAAGAAACTATCTCCAAAAAACAGTGACGCAACTTCAGACACGTCCGTTGGGTCCGATGGCATCTGCTTCACCCCCAGATCACCAGTAAACTTACGCAAAGTGGGGGTTTTGTCCACTTTATCCCATGTAGCTGTCCCGACACTCGCACTTTCAACGGAGCTCTCACTTTCACTTGACACATTTTGGGTAGCCCTGTAGCCCCCGTCACTGTCACTGTCACTGTCACTGATAATGGCCTCGCTATCAGAAGACGAAGCAGTTGGCAAATCTGATAGCTCATCGGAGAATATATCTAATATTTCCTGTCCTCCGAGAGATCGCAACTGCTTTCATCTCTGAGCAATGTTGAACTGGTAGCTGCGTTCATACGTGCAAGCTTGGATTAGAACAAAGCCAATTTTGTTTAGGTTGTGACAGGAAATGACTCTGGTCGAGTTACTAGATAAGGCAGCAATCATTCCCGAGGTCATCTACACAGTAGTTACGATTCAACGAAGCCACACAGCGATATATAGCGTTTTGCAACATAACGTGACCGTAGAGGGCCATATGGCTCGTCCGGTCCGCAATGTGTTAAGTAAATAAATATGTGGATGTTACCTTTGGTTTTAAGTTTTACAATATTGCTGTTGCAATACAAAGAAAGTCTATTTACTAATGTGTTTTATATATATCATGCAGTGCAGCCAAAGCCTCCAAAATTCAGATGCGACAATTATAATCATTGGTAGCCTCTCGATTCACAATTTGTATTACCTTAATTTTATTACATTTTCTTTTGCAATTTATATTTACATCTGAAAAAAAACCTTATACCCCATTATTATCATATACTCAAACCCAGGCTAGCACAAAAAAATTTGATAATATAAATATTGGCCAGTGTACAGATTAGTAAAAAGTTGATAATGATTATGCAGAATAACTTGAGATGGCCTTTATGATCGAAAGATGTAGTAAATCAATAAATAAAAAGGTGGGAAACAGGAAATCTCCAATTATAGACCAGTTTCAATTTTGCCAGTTTTTTAAAAAATTCTTGAAATATTAATACATAAGAGAGTACTGACTCTAGACAAACATATATGAGGTTCAGAATGGCTTCAGAAAGAAGAAATCTTCCGATACAGCGACATAAACCTTCATAGAGGATATCCAGAAAGCATTAAGTAATAAACTGTTAGTTATGGACATATTTTTAGATTTAACTAAATCCTTTGATGTAATCATAAATTACTGCTTGCCATATTGGAGCTGTATGGACTTAGAGGGAAAATACACTTGTGGATGAATTCATATTACTGGTAGAATGCAATTTGTAGAAATACAGCATTTAGATGAAAAGACTGAAAATATAAAGCTGTTTGCTTCATCATATAAAGAAATAAAATATGGTGTACCTCAGGGATCTCTTTTGGGACCCCTTCTGTCATTGTTGTTTATAAACAATTTACCCCAAGCAGTTCAAGAAGGTAAGGTGGTGTTATTCGCAGATGACACAAATATATTACTCGTAGAGAAAAACCTTCCAGTGTTAAAAGAAAAATCAGTAAAAGTCATGGAACAATTAGAAAGCTGGTTCCAAACAAATAATTTTATAATAAATATTGAAAAGACTAAAGCAATGCTATTTCAGGGAAGTGGATCTTGTTTAACTCATGGCCCCATTCTGTATCTAAAAAAATAAAGAATTGACTTACTCATTAAATTTAAAATTATCGGGTATTTATATCACAGATAACATAAGTTTGGCCACTCATGTACAATAACTCTACCATAAATTAAATAAAGCTCTTTATTTGATTAAATCCATACGAGACTCAGTAAGTACTAAGAAGCGTTTATTTTTTTAAATTTGAGTCTATTCGATCTCAGGTCTGGTCAAGTAGGATTTGTGGTGGACAAAGTGGCGCTGGGGCAGGTTTTCTCCAAGTACTTTGGTTTCCCCTGCCAATCTTCATTCCACCAATTGCTCCACAATCACCTTCATCTATCATCTGGGGCTGGTACAATAAGCCAGAAGTGGCCGCAGTACAAGGGACTTAGTCCCACTCCACTAGAAATAAAAAAAAAATTGAGTCTATACTGAAATCTGGTATTATTTTTTTGGGGGGGGGAGTAAATAACAGTAATTCAGTCGTTAAATTACAAAAAAAAGTCTTAAGGCTCACTAAACGAGTGAAAAATAGTGTGTCCTGTAGAAGTCTGTTTGGTGAATTTAAGATTTTAACAGTAACGTCTTTATATATATATGTGTGTGTGTGTGTGTGTGTGTGTGTGTGAGAGAGAGAGGGAGAGAGAGATCTTATGCTTTTTAAAAAAGAACAAGATCTACACAGCTCATTATTCTGACATTCACAAGTATAACGTTAAAGGAAAACAGGATATGCATGTACAAACATGCAGCACTGTTCATTGCAAAGTAAGTGTAATTAACATGGGAATTAAAATACATAACAGGTTGCCCCCTGAATCAAAAAGAATAGAAAATTTTTAAAGTTTTTAGAAATAAATTAAAAAATTATTTGTTACAAAATTGTATTTATTCTCCTCAGGAGTTTTTCTTAATAACAATGATGGACGGTAGTTTGGTGGCTTGGGTTGGTTCTGATGTGGTGTGGATTTATATATGTGGTATAAGTGTATGCATTGCTTTATATTGGATTGTTGGGGGATACCATCCTCGGTTGCTACCTTCAGCAGGGGGACCATGATCCTAAGATGATTGTGTTGATCGTAGTCTTGTGTATCATTTTGTACATTTTTAAGAGTTGTTGACTTGTAGTGTTTCAGATGGCTTAAACTTACTTGTTCAATTGTACTTGTGTACCAGTTTATGGATGTAAATAAATTATGAATTATATACAGAGTGTCCCAGGTGTTTGGTGCCATACTTCATGAGCGTACTGAGGGTTCCCTATAGAACAACTTTGAAATAGGAACCCGTGTCCGCAAATGTAAAATAGCAATGCTAGGATGGCATTTAATATCATTTCATTTCAACTTGGCGCCCTAATGTCGAAGAACATGCACAGGCATATTACTCCCTCCAAACTCTTTAAGACCCACCTGTTGGAACTGGCCCCCTCCATTTTCAATGCATGCGTTACATCAGTGAAAGAAACTTTGGCGCACCCTTTCAAATATTCTAGGTGTCTCACAGATCACGTCACATGCAACAAGTATTCTGGCCAACAGCTCGAATTCATTATCCACAGGCGTGTCGTAGATCAGGCTTTTCACATGGCCCCAGACGAAATAGTCCATAGGTGTCAAGTCTGGGGATTGGGGTGGCCACCAATGACTATGAAAAGCAGCATCCAGGTAGTCTCGTGATACAGTGCTGAAGTGTGCCGGCGCTCCATCATGCTGTATTCACATTTGCCTCCACACAATCAGTGGCACGTCTTCTAGCAAAGTTGGAAGGATACGTTGCAGGAACACCTTGTAAGAGTTCCCATTGAGTCACGGTGGTAGGAAGAAAGGCCCAATCAAGTGATCACCAATGATGCCCGCCCAGACATTGACAGAAAATTGTGCCTGGTGGTAACCAACTACAGTAACAGGGTTTTTGTCAGCCTAAACGTGGCTGTTTCAACAGTTGAATCAGCCATCTCTTGTAAACTGCGCTTTGTGTGTGAATAACATGTGATTCAGGAAGTTGGGCTGATGTAAACCCTGGTTCAGTATCCACTGGCAAAATTGAACTCTTGGTACGAAGTCAGCTGGACCTGCATCATGTACTGTTATTTCCTTGGAACTCTAGCCATGGTAGAGGGGTCATACCATCTCTGGCGGAGCTGGGGTAGCAGTCTTATCAGCTTACGTCAGCATGGGTACTACCAGTTTGGAATGTAGCGTCTTGGAGTGTGGTCAGGTGTATAGTACATTGTATTGCTTGTTAGTTGGTACCAGTCATAGTGATTGTATTACGTGGTGTTCGTGTACTATCATAGCACACAAACAATCACACGGAACAATTCATAGTGAGGCCAGGGAAGTAATAGCTAATGTTTTCCGCTCGGGGAGTAGCTCTGAATCTCACCACAGCAAGCGTACAGCTTCGCGTGCTCCGCAACAGCGTTTACCATTCTGCGCGGCTAAAGTTACGAGGCACTAACTATACTCGCGTTGGATGATACATGTAAAGTTGTTGGTTGTGCTGGATCCTCCAAGCACTTGATTTTGATGTCCCCACAATCTAAGCAATGGCATGAGTGCTGGTGGATGGCTGTTCCTCGATGCAATGCAGGTCAACGTTGAGGCACCAAGTTTAAACGAAATGATTTTAAATGCCGCCCTAGCCCTGCTATTTTACGTTTGCAGACATGGGTTCCTATTTCACAGTTATTCTATAGGAACCCTCAGTACGCTCCTGAAATATGGCACCAAACTCCTGGGACAATCTGTATAATTGATGTTATATGTTGCGTTGTGTCAGTGGACCCTCAAGTAATCATTTTTTTGTGTGTGTTTTTCAATTTATTTAGAGAATATTTGAGTTCATTATATTCTTTTCAATTCCTAATTTGTAAATAAATTAGAATGAACATTTCCCCAGTGGTAATTTGATGTATAATTGTAGGCCGGAAGAAGGGACGTGGTTCACATCATTCACGAACACCTACATCAACAGCAGATTTGCTGACGTTGCCAACACGAGAGGGCTTGACATATGCAGAAGCTCAGAAAATGGTAGAATTTGAAGTAGATGGACGAGTGACCAGAGTCAGCATTTTTGATCCTTTACCACTCATATCTAAAGAGGAATTTGAAGCTACATATGGTAGCAGTAATGATAGTGTAAGTGCTTTTAATTTTTGAAGTATAGAGCCATTCTTCACACCACATAACTTTGCAGTTCATACTTTATTGTTGAATATTGCATGAATGAATTAATAATGTACTAGCCAACATCAGAATAAGTCAGGTTGAACTCAGTAGTAGTACTTTTCTCTTTCAGTCCTCTAGTAATATTCTAGTGAGTTATGTATGATATGAAGTTTTTGTAACATCATCTGAACCTTATGGGAGTTTCATGTCAGAAGACAAGTTATACGTTAAAGTTTGTGTTATAAACATTCATATTACCGCATCAGTGCACACTCTAGAATACTCTTTTTCATCTTTGAAATTATGTTTGTTTGATGAAGCTGGGTTATTTTCTGTTCTGTACATAATTTATATTTATATTTCAATTTTGAATTGTATACACCTACACAGTAGAAATATGTAGTTACAGGTGCAAAATGCTAGGATGCTTGAATACTTGAACTTTGCACATAATTCCACAGCTTCTAAACTTTTTTAGACTTTCTGTTTGAACTTTCTATACTGCCTTGTTGGAACCATGAACTGTTCTTAAATGATAAGTGAAACACCTACCTGGCAGTTCTGATAAAACCTTTGATTAAAGTGAATAGATGCAAATTGAAGTACTAACAATCACGACTTATCATAGACCTTATGAAAGAAGTATACCAGGGGAAGAGAAGCAGCGAGAGTTACTTCAGCAAGCTATTAACATCTAGCAGAAATGATTCATTATACAGAGAGCTCAAATAATCAGTATCTCTCAGTATTACCTTCTAAAAGAACTTTTTGGGCACTGGAGCAGTTAAATAATTGCTTTTTGGTATTAAACAGTTAATGCTTACTTCAGGTCATAGCCTATCTGTTAGTATAGTGCTATCCATGTATTCCAATATTTGGCTTTGATTTTGGACCCGTGTCACTGTGTTTCTTTACCTGTGAGTATATTTTGAGTTTTCTCATCCCAGGTTTGTCAGTGACTTTCTTGTCATGACTATCATGCAGTATTAGGATTTCTCAAGTTTTCTATCATTTACATCTTCTTGAATTATCTGAGCTATAAGTTGGTGTTATTTTAATAACTGGTCTAATTTCATTGTCCAGGAATAGAGGATTTTTTAATTCTTCAGTAGTGCAGGACTGGCGGCTGGATTTTAACTCAGGAATAACAGTGTTAGTATAGAACAGGCATGTCCAATGCATTGATCGCGATCGACCGGTCGATCATGGTACGATTTTTGGTTGATCTCATGGGCCTACAAGGAAATAATATAATAATATATATATATAAAAATAATATAATATGATTATACTCAGATTTTGAAGGGAAAATGCATGTTAAAGTAGTCTGTACTTTCAATGTACGTTGTGTGTTCAAGTTCTAAGTTCTCTGATTTTTTTCCTCACACAATAATCATACAAAAAATTTGAAACTTCTGTCACTTTTCAATGTAATCTCCCTGCTGCCATACACATTTTTCACAACGTCGACGTCATGATTCCATGGCCGCTGCAGACGTTTCTGTAGGAGTCTGTTTTGACCACTGGAAAATCACTGATGCAATAGCGGCACGACTGGTGAATGTGCAACCATGGAGAGTGTCTTTCATCGTTGGGAAAAGCCAAAAATGGCTAGAAGCCAGGTCAGGTGAGTTGGGAGCATGAGGAACCACTTCAAGGTTGTTTTCATGAAGAAACTGCTGCGTCGCATATGCCCGATGCGCTGGTGCATTGTCCTGGTGAAAGAGCACATGTGCAGCCTTTTCCGGCCGTTTTTCTCCCAGGGCTGGAAGGAGCTTGTTCTTCAGAACATCTTGGTAGGATGCACCTGTCACCGTAGTACCCTTTGGAACGCAATGAGTAAGGATTACGCCATCGCTGTCCCAAAACATGGCCACCATCATTCTTTCAGCACTGGCGCTTACCCGAAATTTTTTTGGTGGTGGTGAGTCTGTGTGCTTCCATTGAGCTGACTGGCGCTTCGTTTCAGGATTGAAAAATGGCATCCATGTCTCATCCATTGTCACAATTGATGAAAATAAAGTCCCATTCATGCTTTCATCATGTGTCAACATCGCCTGGCAAATTGCCATGCGCGCAGCCTTGTGGTCGTCTGCCAGAATTCGTGGCACCCACCTGGAGGACACTTTCCGCATTCACAGGTCTTCATGCAGGATTATGTGCACAGATCCCACAGAAATGCCAACTTTGGAGGTGATGTTTTCCACACTCAATCGGCGATCCTCCAAAACAACTTTCTCAACTCGCTCGACCATGTTGTCAGACCGGCTGGTGCGAGGCCGAGATTGTTTTGGTTTGTTGTCACATGACGTTCGTCCTTCTTTGAACTGTCGCGCCCACAAACGTACATTTTTCACATTCATGACACCATCACCACATGTCTCACTCAACTGGTGATGAATTTCAATGGGTGTCACACCACGCAAGTGGAGAAAACGAATGATTACTCACTGTTCTTGTAACGAAAACGCCGCCATTTTAAGTATCAAAAACACTCCTCACTCTCGTCGCCACCACTAGAGTTCTGTATGCCATACAGTGCTGCCATCTCTGTCACGCATTCACAAAGAGTACACACGTATTAAACTAAACCGTGTGTGTCTATCTGCTCCCAGTCCTGAGAAAAAAAATCGGAGACCTTAGAACTTGAACGCCCCTCGTATGTTGCTTTTAGAACAAACATCATGTGTCGTGTAATTTTTACCAATATTTTTGCTTAAAGCAAGGTATGATGATAGGAGGGGATGGTAGATCACTGGCAGTTTTGACACTAAAAAGTTGATCACAACCTGTTTGAAGTTGGACATGCCTGGTATAGAAGAAATGCAATGACAGTTGGCCTGCACACATGAACTGTTACAGAGGTTTGGTGCATCTAAAGTATTCTTGATTCCCCCCCCTGTCACTGTTAATCTTTGTGATCTGCAACTGTGTGTTGACTGATAAACTTACACCTTAATTTGTATAATAATTTCATTTTTAGCTTGGAAACTTCTACTTAACATATTGTGTAATTACCCTATTCTAATGATCTGTATTTTCTCTTTTGTTCTTCCCTGATTATTTATTATTGCTTCTACATTTTTAATATATACATAGTTGTTCTCATTTTAAATGATGAGAAAGAGTTATCATTATTATAAAGTTTGTTACTGTTGGAGCAACTTTTGGGAGCCCATTCATTGTAGTGACTAAGTTATTTGTTGGATGAGTCAAGTGTTTATTGCCATAAGGGGCGGAGATTTGTTTGTTCTTTACTTCCAGATTGGCTCTGGGGCCAAACTAGTCTTCTATGCAATAGGTTCCACGGGATCATTCCCAGGGAATAAAGTGGCTGGGGTCTGAAGCTGACCACATGCCTCCATCCAGTGCTGAGGTTAAAATCTCTAGAGGTATACCTCTGCTGCCTCCTACATATTCATAGTGTGATGCTTGGTGAAGCACAGGGACAAGTTTGCTTTTGTGTCGAGCAATTTTTAGGTGTCAAGCCAAAAAAATTGATATATCCTAAAGTTCTATAGAATTATATAGTATGTGACTAAATCTGTTGGGTTTCCATAAATATCTGATTTTCTGTACCATTTATTTTAAAATAATTTGGTTTTCAGGGTGACTTTCTTAACTGAGTTTTAACATGTATTGTTGATATATGAAATGATAAAATTTCAATTGTTACATGCAGCATATTGGGAACCAGTCATCTGCAGATCTCCATCAGAGTATACTTGCCAGTGATGAGAAAGTTCGTCTTCCAGAGCCAAGCTACACTGTCCTAGATTCTTATAATATTAGTGATGCACCACCGCGGCCCAATGCATATATTAGGTATGTGTTGTTCTGTTATTGGTCTTCAAACTGAGATTGACTTTCATTATCAAGGGTATGTGGCCTGGCAGTATTAGCCCTTTCTGGTTGGCACATTTGAAAATACTTCCACAGCCAGGACAATGGGTTTTTAAATGCCTGCCGAGCCACTAAGTGAGTTGTTTTGCCCAAAAAGTCAGTGCAACAAGGGCATTAAGTTAAAAAGCATAATGTATACTTACATTTTTGATTTTCCAATTCTTGGGTAAACTCAACACAGCTATACTATCTGTCAGTGGAAAGGTGGTAGTCTTCAGTGTGGTACTGTGGGGAACTGTAGTATGGGTACAGTGATGGATGGTGTTGAAAACTGCACACAATTTTCATGCACTGGGTGGGATTTTAATCTGTGCCTCAGATGTTTTCATGGCCTAACATAGTGTGCATCATGCAAGCAGTGAGAACAGCATTCATAGAGATTTATATCAGGGAATTCACAAGAGTTGGTTTGACCTACTTTTAATTTATGAGACTCTCCTACCCCAGAAATGGGCTGTTCATCATTGTTGAGACAAGCAGGCACCGGGAAGTTTGATTAGAATGTAGGTGGAGACATTAGCCACAAAGACATTTAATTTTTTAAATGCAGATTCATTGAGAGGTCTGCTGAGGAACTTGACGGAGAAGTGGAATACGACATGGATGAGGAAGACTGTGCTTGGCTGAACATTATCAATGAGCAACGTGCTGCTTCTGGTCTGTCAGATGTTCCTGTGGATACGTTTGAATTACTTATGGATCGACTTGAGAAGGAGTCATACTTTCAGGTAATACAAGGTGTTAGGATGAAAGGTATCCAAAATAAAATAATTATATTTCAGAAAGGATTTATAATACATGTTAATGGATTACACCATTATGAAGGGAAATTATCAAAATATTTTTCTGAATATATAACTTTGTTAGTAAATTTTAGTGTGGGCTGTCTTGGTGTCACGACAAATATCCAGACGATATTCAACCATGAATGGTATTAGGGGTGCCGGCGTTCCCTCTGGCACTAGGTGTTCGAATATGTGGTTTGTGTTGTTGATTCAACCGAACACCATGAATCTTACTCAGAAGGGTAGGGCTAGCGATAGTGTTAATTACACTGGGATCCATATTTAATGTTCCTAAATTGAAGGTTCTCCTTCTCCTAATGTTCATTTTCATGATCCCAAAGTCAGTAATCTGAATGTTCCATTTCCTCCATACAAGATTTTCTTGGGTTTAGTGCTCAAATCTCTTGCTCCCAAAGAAACTTTAAATGGAGGATTCAGTGTATTTCACACCATTTTCATTATTTCAGAGTTGTGGCAAAGGAGGAGATGGAGCAGCACCAACTGTTATTGATGATGATGCTGTTTGTTGTATATGTATGGATGGAGAATGCCAGAACTCTAATGTAATTCTCTTCTGTGACATGTGCAATTTGGCTGTTCACCAGGTATAGTCTGATATGTTGTCTGATAAAACTGTCAGCTTTATTCAACAAAAAATATAGTTTCTAATCACGTAGTTAAATGTGGGTGTAATGCAACAGAAATCTTGATTGAAGAATTTTATAGGAAGAGACAGGCATCCAGAAGTATGTTTTCTTACGTGTAACTGCAAAGTTAATGGAGATTTATAGCAAGAACGTGTTAAGACCAACAAGGAGGGATCATCATACTTGGGTCAGGGATTTCAGTTAAAATGTGATCAATGGAAAATATGTGGAGACAGAGTGACACATGCCTTGATGTTCATCCAGTGGCAGATGGTTTCTTATGTGCTTTTGTTGATGTAATCTTCCCATGCTGCCTTTGAAAACCAAATTCAGTGTGAATGCATAAAGGGGTAGGTCTAGACCAGCCCATGTGCATAGTCATTCATTATAGTATCTAGTTTTATATATATTTTTACAGGATTGTTATGGTGTACCATACATTCCAGAAGGCCAGTGGCTCTGTCGTCGCTGTTTGCAGTCTCCCTCACGTGCTGTAGATTGTGTCCTTTGCCCAAACAATGGCGGAGCTTTCAAACAAACAGACCGTGGGCACTGGGCACATGTTGTATGTGCACTTTGGATTCCTGAAGTGAGATTTGCAAATACGGTAAGTGAACTTTTGACAGTTTTTTATGTTTCTGGTATCCTTCCTTACTTGTGTCCTTTAATGCAGCAGTGCTCTGTAATGACTCTGAAACTTATTAATCATAAATATTTTACAAACAGTGCCATTTACCTTATTGTAGACTTATCAGTACATCTATCAATTAAAAGGCTATAGTGTTGAGAACCCTTTTCTTCAATTTCAACTTCGTATGTTATTATGGCAATGTAATTCATCAGATCTTGACAGTGGTTAATTACTTTTGTGCTGCCCAAGAGCATTCATGCTTAATTTGTTTGCATATTTTAACAGTTCTATCATATCACTCTATCTTCTTTCCTTTACCCACATATCAAATGTTGTTTCTTCATAGATTCAGCTGCACATGAAACATTTAGCATATTTTGTGCATATAGCTGACTTTACATGAAATCTGAAAGTAATACTGTCTTAAGTGGAACTATGAAAATGTGTCTTAACATTTTGGATGAGGTACTGATGTACACACACTGCATCTTGATAGTTCACTGTTAGTATCATATTTTAATCACAAATTTGCTTCACCCAAAGTGACTGAAATTTTCCCCTTGTCTTCACTTTTTTGCTCTTGAACCTGAAGCAACTTATGTATTTATATTTTTCAGTTCTATGACTGTCTTTGTGTTTTCTTGGTATGTTGTATTGCTGAAATATAATAAATTCTTATTTTTTTTCTTGTTTCACCATGGTTAACAATTTCTTTACAAGGAGCCATCATGCATCAGTGCTGGAACTCAACAGAGCACATGCAGCATGCAGAACACAGTGATAAATTTTGTGGGTATTATACATTGTCCTAACTTTTATTCTTGGTAATGTTTCAGACACTGGGCTCTGTATCCACCCAGTTACTAGAGCTGGTATGGACACAGGAGCAAGTGTAATTTGTTGTATTCATCATTTGATTTATTTCTTTGAAGCTGATTTTTAGCATTTTGTGACAACTGCAAACTCAAGAAAACAGATAAATTATTATCTTTGTTGTACTGAGGCCAGTTGTGATCCGGTGGTAATAGATGCACAGTACTTTAGGGCCGCACGCATTATATTTGTAAAATATTATGTAAATGTTTTTAAATTATTGGTTAATAGGACAGGTATTTTGAACTTCAGCGTTTTATAAAGAATTCAGTCTGTTACATTGGATTTCTATGATTATGTAAAATGAAAGGGAAAGTGCTAGAAAAATGAAGAAACCTCTGGTTTTTCAATGAAGTTAGTATACTTGCCCCTTTGTCTCCTATAATATTAACCCACTGGATTAACATGAATAAACAGAAATTTCAGGAGAAAGTGCAGAAAGTGTTATCCACAGCAGTTCTTTCAGAACAGAATGCTATGAATTGATACTGATAATATCTCTACTTTCCTCTCTTGAATTTGGTACTGTTTTAGTTTTGGAAGTGACGTGTATATTTTACAGGTGTTTCTGGAACCAATAGACAGCATAGAAACAATACCTCCAGCACGATGGAAGCTGACATGCTACATCTGTAAGCAGAGGGGTGTAGGAGCCTGCATTCAGTGTCATAAAACAAACTGCTATGCTGCATTTCATGTAACTTGTGCACAGCAGGCTGGTCTCTTTATGAAGATGGACACTGTTCGGGACTCACATGGAGGTTTGTATGTTATACTCATGTTGAAATAAAGAGTCCGTGTACTTGGTACTATAATGTGTTGAATTTTTTAATTTAATAATGACTCGCTGTTAATTGTAGTGTTCTGTAGTGTCAAAGGAGAAAGGACAAGAGTAGAGCCAGTGTAATCCTTATTCACTTAAGAATTATCTAATGACATTTTTATAACTAACTATGTATAGGTATATATTTAAATACTGGATAGTGAGCTGTCATAGATCAGTCAGTAGAATGGTTAGTTGTGGGCTGGATAATCATTTGGTATCAATTAAGTGTATGGTCTTTTAAGTTGTGATGTCTTGTAGTTCATGTCTGTTTTGGTGGAACATATTGCCTCCATATTCAGGGTCAGAGAGTAAGCAAAGAAAAAAACTAACAGAAGCAGGCACTATGCTCAGTGAACAGCATATGGAAAATTCTTCCTGTAAGGGACTATGCGAGATCCAATAGGGGATTGACCATTGTCTGTAGGTGACAGAGAGCCAATGGAAGTAGAAGAAACTGTACCTTGGTTGGAACCTGGAAAGGGCCACCTGGTTGCTGAGTGACATTAGAAGTGAAGTTGTGCACAAGGGAATTGGATGGTTGGGTATAGCAGAAACAAGAGGCAACAGAAAAGACCAAGGAGGGTTAAGGAATAAGCTGTTGCTGAAGCAGCCAAGGAAGACCAGGAATATGGATTTCCTGAAAGGCAAAGTCCATGCCCTGGATAGAGCCATATGCACTGGCCAAACCTGGAATAGCATGTTACAAAAACCTGTGAAGGAGGCCTCCTACCCTTCTGCAGGGAGGATGTGAGAGATTTCCATGGCTTAGACGGAAGTTATCCTCCCTGTTCATGTTTTTGGAATAGAGCTCAGTGTCATTGCCTCTATGCATCTCAATTTTGTGCAGAGGGTACTGTTGTCCTGGAGCTGAATGTGATGTCCAAAATTTTCCCTTTGCTTAACTAATGAAATACTATACCATGAAGGCATGTGCAGGAGTGGAGTAGATCAACGTATTCTTGAACTTGGCACTAGTCGGAGATGAGCGGTCAGCTTCATTCCCTAGCCACTTACCCCCCTTGGAGTAAGAGCGCTCGGTACTCATTGGTTAGGAGGCTTGGTGGGCCCCAGAATTTGTTTGGATGTTTTGGAAAAGAGAAAATTTTGCCTTTGCCAGGACTCGTGACACTTAACCCCTCTGCCACCCACCCTGAAGCCAGTCACTATACCAACTGCACTATCCTGGCTCCTTATTAATTCTGCATTAAAATTTATAAATAATACAAGACACAAACTTCTGTGCACCTGAAAATAAATGTCTTCAAATTGGGAGCTACTTTTATTGCTAGTATTGGTTATATCTCAGACAAGCTTCTACCACAGATGAGTGCTAGGAAATAAAAAGACATTTCCAAGAGTTTGAAGTTTAACACATTATAGTAGAATGTATTTTCACAGTGGTAAAGCAATATGCGTAACAGCCAGGGCTGTGCTTGTGCATATCTGTTTTGTTGGTCATTAAGTATTTAACCTTTATCGGACGGGCTTTTAAATTGCCGGTAGCCCCTGTATGGCCGGGATTTAAATCGCCTTTATTGAGGATCTTTGCAAACCTTGAGAAAAAAATACATATTTTCCGTTCTATGCAACATAGAAATATGAACTAAAAAGAATCTGAAAGACAAGAGAATTTTCTACATATATGTAAAAGATCACGTTTTAAAAATGAAAATTAAATCCCCTGTCTGTGGTTTTCCATCGCGAAGCTATCGGCAAAAATTAAAAATTCCATAAAAATTGATAGCAGCATGCCAGAATTATGCAGTTTTGGTCTCCCCTGTTCTGGTTACATTCCACACCATGCCAGTGACGCGGGGTCTAGGCCACTGAGTGTTATGAGAGGAGAGGCTGATTTCATCATGCCTACACGATTTATATGCGTTTGCTTCTTAGCTTTCATTCTACTAAACAGGGCCATGTTTGTTTTGC